GCAATGAGTGACGGATAAATTTTGTACATGTGTAGAATATGTAGCAGCCAACTGTGTGAAACACTGTCGAATGCTTTTCTGTAGTCTATATATATCATGTGTATGTTTCTGTGTTGTTTGTGTGCTTGCTGTAGAATGACTGAATCTATAGTAACTGTTTTTTGCATCCTGTGATTTCTACAGCAACCTTTTTGTTCCATAAGAATGCTGTGTTCTTCAATATGTTTGTATATTTTGTTTGCGATACAGGATGTCAATAATTTGTAGAGTTTTGGGAGACATGTAATCTATCACTAAAAATGTATCTATCACTAAAAATAAATTTTATATAACACTTATTAATTAATTCATTGTCAATAAAAAACAAATAAAATTGTAACACAAAGCTACAATCTCATCTGTGATCACTGATTTTCATCATCTTGTAAACAAACTATTTTGTATGAAAGTTCTTAGAGAAATAGAGGAAATCTCCCTAAAGAATTCTGAGAGAGAGAAAAATGTCTCTCCCAATTTCTGATTTTCTAACACATATAAGATCATCAAAATCAAAAAATGATACTTGAATGATGTTCTTGTTAGTTTCAATGATTAAAACTCTAGCCAAAAATATAGCCCAAGAAATCTAGCTTTTAGATATTTGGTTATAAAAATTCAGGCTTGGTAATTGATTTTAAGACTTCTTAAATTTATTATAAAATTGTAACATTTCTCAACTTATAGTATTTAATTGTCTTTTTAAAATATTTGTTCAATTATAATCAAAACTTATCAAAATGCAGTAGTTGCAGTTTTCAATATTTCCATTTTGGCATAATCCTAACATTAGATGTTTCAAGTTATTAATATCTTTCCTTTGTACATGTAAAGATATTTCTAAAGAAGTTATAATTGTTATTTATAACAAAAATATCTAAATTATAAGTAATTAGTGTATATTTAAATTTTATATGATCAGAATTAAGATAGACAATGTCACAACTAGTAATGAATTCAATAACTGAATATTATAAGAGGATTCTACTACTGTTTATTTCTATTGTAGTGATCACGCATAAAAAATTGGCTATACTATCATGAAAAGAAATCTTTGGGATATTTAATTATTGCAAGTACAACTAATTTAAAAGTATTTTTTGAGAGTAATATCTAATAAATGAAATTTTATGAAAATTCTCCACTATAATCAATTATACAATGGACTTGTTACTATCTATTGTACTATATATTTTTCTTATTAATATAATAATTTAAATTTTCATACTTCTATTTAAATTTAATAAATAGCTAATTAATATTTAACTTACCTCACATAAATCTACCAAACACTTATGTATATTCTGAAACAAATCATATGCTTGCGAATAAGTATCATATTCTATAATATAATTAGAATACTTTTTCTTCATAAATTTTCTTTTTCTATAAGTATTATATGCAACCTATAAAGAATTAAAAATAGGAACAAAAAATTAAAAAGTTGTATATTTCTTTGAGTTAAAAATTAATTGAGGTTAATAAAATGTTAAAAGTAATTATTCAAATAGTAGTGTGAACGAACTCCTTAAACAATTAATCTATTTAACCTTTCTGTTTTAATGAAAAAAATCAAATAAAAAATTTAATGTTCTTAAATATTTTTAAGTATCATATTTCCTTGATTAAACCCCAGGGTATGAATAAATCCAGTTTTCAAATAAATCCCAGGAAATAAAAGTGCTGTTAAAAATAAACCCTGGTTTGAAAAGCATGGAAAACATGTTGAAGTACAGCACTGTACAGAGTAATATAGTTTAGAGTAACAGGTAAGAAGTTTAACTAAAATTCTACCTCTTCAAATTGTCTGGAGTCATACAGCACTTTCTATTCCAAAGTTAACAGAAATTTTTATTGAAATAAAATTATAAATATTGTCAAATACTGAGCATTGGAAAATCATGATCAAGTTCCAAACTCAAAAGTCAAAGGGTATTAAGAAAACTTTCGTTCAAACTCACCATCTCTTTTGGAAAGAAATGGAGAATTTGAACCAAAAGATGGTAGTCAAGGCCATGATTCCTACAATGAAACTGAAGTAGACACAAATGACAACATAATAACCAAACTGAACAATGTTGAATCAAATTAACTATAAAAAACATTAATTATTTTAAATCTTGTAGTTGTAATCCAGAAATACAGCAAATAAATAATTTTGATAGTTTTGAAAATGTATGAAAAATTAAGGTGTTTCTTTCAATTTTTACACATTTGTCTACTGTTGCAAGGTAATAAAAATCCCAGCCTTGAAAAAAACCTGGAGGATACATACATTTAAAAAAAAATTCCCAGGATTTAATTGAGAAAATACAATGTATAACATTTTATTTTCAAAAAACAATATCCTAATGTAAAAAAATGTTTTCATTAATATTTTAGTAAAATAAAATATTTTCTTTAATAAAATTATAAATTATTATTTCAGTTATTATAAATGTATGTTTATAAGATACATGTGCTTAATAACATAAGTTTACTAAGTATTCTATTCTGATCACCTTCAGCAATTCAACCTGATATATTGTATCATTTTTCAAAATGCTTCACATGTATGCTGCAGTTTATAATAACTCTTTGTATGAGCAATATTAATTAAATAATTGTAAATAGTATTTTAAATATTTAATATAGAATAAGCAATGACAAGACAAAAAAATGTAATTTAAAATAATACAAAGCAAATTAATAATAATAAATATCTTTAAAAATAGAAAGATGGTTATTTAAATTAATCAACTGCTTGGATACCATGGCATTTTATGATGTGTTCAGGTGATTTTCGCTAATTTACAATGCATAATTTTTCTTTTGAAATTTTAATTTTTCTGGTAAAGTACTTAAGGTCCCTTTATGACTGTATTATTTTGTTTTTCTGTAAGAAGTCTGCTTCTGTTCAAACACATCTGCAAGTGAGTGAGTGAGGTTAATGTAGGTTTATTATATCAGATAACTAAAATTATTATTATAAAAATATATTATTATGTTAATGTATTTTAACTTGTACAAAGCTTTATTTGAAATATAAATTATAATACAGTGGTACTCAGTACTAAACTTAATTCATTTGAGAAGGCTATTCAAGTGCCAATCTGTTCAGATACCAAATGAATTTATCCCACAAGGAATAATATAATTTAGATTAATCCATCCCAGACCACCCAAAAATACACTTATAAAAGCATTTCAACTAGAATTTAACACAGATTTAGCAAGAATTATACAAGCCTAACATACATAACTTAGAAAAAATTCAAAAAATGTGAAGAAATAAAAAGTTCACAGTGAAGTTTATCAAAGTTGTGCAATGAGTGACAGCTACAGGAAGACTGATACATTTCCTTTGTTTCAACTGGGAATACCCATATGCAATACAGTGACAAAATACTCCTGTTAATTTCAGCAATAATTTTGTGTGACAAATAAACTCTAGGATTTCATTTTATTTTTAAATTAGTTAATTATTTTCATCATGGAAAAATTTTATGAATGACAAAATTAAAGTTAAAATAAAAATATTTATTATTAATCAAAAATCTGTTCTAGTAGATAGTGTTTGTTCTGCTAAGTGTCAAGCAAACAGTCGATTACCAAGTGATTTTTTCCAACATTTTAATATCAAACTGTTTAAAATGGGAGCAGTTCGAATACTGAGTTACCACTGTATATATTCCAACTTCAGATAAATTCAGAATTTAATGATGTATAAATAAATAGTGGGTTTAAAAAGTTATAATATACTTTTTTTAAAAAAGCAGTCATTATCATCATTAATATATCATTATAATACTATATTAATAATATTGTTTAAATATTACTTTTATATATCTTAATTTTTTAATTATATTTTTTAAATTGTCATTCAAATAAATCGCACTATAAACCTATTGTCTGGTGTTGATAATACTGTATGTACACTGCATATGCAATTTATTTGTCATCTGGTGAGTGTTCTTTTTCATAAATTGCACAAAAATAAGCAATGCATTTCTTAAAAAAAAATCAAACAAGTGAGTAATTATTTTATGATGTGCTATAAGATAGAAAATAACATTATTATTTTATTTTCAATTATTTATTTATTTATGCCTGTAATATTTCAGATAATATATTTAGTTATGCTATGTTTAAGTTATGCATAAGTTTAATTATGTAAATTAAGTTATATATTTAGTTATGCATAAGTTTAATTATGTAAATTATTAACATTTTTTGTTAACTGTAACAAAATAATTTTAAAACTCTTACCAAAGCTACATTTGCAAGACCTTTAGTTTTTGCAAAGGAAGAAAAATAGCCATGTCGTTCTATAGCTTTTGATTTCATTTCTTCTCCATCCTTAAGAAGTCGACCCAACAGACACACTTCCCAAATGCAAGAAGCAAATGTTTTCTGCTTTTCATTTCTCATTAGCACAAACTAAATTGATAAATCAAGTAATTATAATATAATAAATAACTGGTAATTTGTAATGGATAACAATAATATATATATTATATACACTGTATAATGACAATACATATAATTTAAAATCTGCAATATACAGTAAAACTCCAATTATCCAAATGATGATTATCCAAATTGCTAATTTTCCAGATTGCCCTCTGACTTTGTTAAAAATAAATAGGCATGTACAGTAGGCCTACATATATGTACAGTACATGCCTATTTATTTTTAAATTAGCTAATATATATGTACTGTATATGCATGAAAAATAATTTTTTTCTAAATGTAGAAAATAAATTATAGTTATTTTTAAGTATATTTCCACATAATTATGTACACATTTATATAACAGGATATTTACAGAGGGGGGAAAAAAGACTATTTTAAGCAAAGATCCAATTATCCAGATATTCTGCANAATTTTTTAACTATATTTTTTAAATTGTCATTCAAATAAATCGCACTATAAACCTATTGTCTGGTGTTGATAATACTGTATGTACACTGCATATGCAATTTATTTGTCATCTGGTGAGTGTTCTTTTTCATAAATTGCACAAAAATAAGCAATGCATTTCTTAAAAAAAAAATCAAACAAGTGAGTAATTATTTTATGATGTGCTATAAGATAGAAAATAACATTATTATTTTATTTTCAATTATTTATTTATTTATGCCTGTAATATTTCAGATAATATATTTAGTTATGCTATGTTTAAGTTATGCATAAGTTTAATTATGTAAATTAAGTTATATATTTAGTTATGCATAAGTTTAATTATGTAAATTATTAACATTTTTTGTTAACTGTAACAAAATAATTTTAAAACTCTTACCAAAGCTACATTTGCAAGACCTTTAGTTTTTGCAAAGGAAGAAAAATAGCCATGTCGTTCTATAGCTTTTGATTTCATTTCTTCTCCATCCTTAAGAAGTCGACCCAACAGACACACTTCCCAAATGCAAGAAGCAAATGTTTTCTGCTTTTCATTTCTCATTAGCACAAACTAAATTGATAAATCAAGTAATTATAATATAATAAATAACTGGTAATTTGTAATGGATAACAATAATATATATATTATATACACTGTATAATGACAATACATATAATTTAAAATCTGCAATATACAGTAAAACTCCAATTATCCAAATGATGATTATCCAAATTGCTAATTTTCCAGATTGCCCTCTGACTTTGTTAAAAATAAATAGGCATGTACAGTAGGCCTACATATATGTACAGTACATGCCTATTTATTTTTAAATTAGCTAATATATATGTACTGTATATGCATGAAAAATAATTTTTTTCTAAATGTAGAAAATAAATTATAGTTATTTTTAAGTATATTTCCACATAATTATGTACACATTTATATAACAGGATATTTACAGAGGGGGGAAAAAAGACTATTTTAAGCAAAGATCCAATTATCCAGATATTCTGCATATTTGGACAGCCTGAGGTTCAATTAATTCATACATTTGGAGTTTTACTGTATTTATTTAATTATACAGTAGATTGCATATATATTTGTAATAAGTTTATAAATCAGACCAATTACAAAGATAACGTTAAAAGGAAAAACTTAGAATTTTTTAAAAAATTAATAATAGTTTTCTGACAGAAAATGCTTTTTGTAAATCTTGTCATATTAATGAAGGCAATTTCACTGCTGGTATTGTTTTAATAATATAAAAATAAAGAATATATATACAGTAGAGCATAGTTTATCCGAATCAATTGGGGACTGGGGTTGTTCGGATAACCGATTATGTACAAAAAAATACTGCATATTAACCCATCCCATGTTGAAATTTTTCTCCGTTGTGTGTCACTTCACATTGAATTTTCGTCGATGTTAAGCCTAACGTAAATTTTTTTTAAATAATAATTGTGGCTATTGTATCGTTAAAAATTATTTCTTTATTTTGTACAAACAAAATAAATATATTGAAAAAAATATATAAAAACAAAAAATTATATTTTAAAAGTTAATCNGTTGCCCTTTTGCAATTCATGATTAATAAAAATAATAAAATGTTACTTACAAATTAAAATCAGAAGAAATTTAACAAAGTTATAAACCGTAGCACCGCGAACGTCTAGTCTAGTGTAGTACACCGATAGTGCTACTTGTTCATAGATGGCGCGTATAATTGAATTAAGTCGTATACCGAATAAAAGTCGTATACCGAGCAAAATTTGTTTCGTCCAAATAGGACGTATTCCGAATTGGACGTATTCTAAAGCAGACGTATACCAAGGTTCCACTGTATTATATAATTTATGGACAACTCCTATTTTGTACCTTTCAACTACCATCCCACACCTGTAACCTTTGTAATGATGTTGCACCTCCAAAATTATGTAATACATATCCTAGATAAAGCCCCTTAATTGTACTAAGGAATAATAAAGAGCAGAGGATACTGAATGTTATATTATTTTATTATTATTATGTAGTGAATGTCATGCTCATCTGATACTTGTGCCAAGTGCTACCTATGCCAGACTAAAGTCAAAACACGGCTACCCAAACAAGTGTAATATTAAGTTGTGTTATTGGTATGCGTGTCAACATCTGGAAACTTCTTTCATTATTATTAATGTTTTATGTGGAGGGACCCAATAAAAAAACCGGATTTTTTGTATAAAAACTTTATTTATTAACTTTTTTACAAAATTCCTTCAGTCACCTTCAAAATACTCTCCATTAGATGCGATGCACTTATCAAGTCTTTTTCCCCACTGTTTGAAGCATCTCTGGAACTCTTCAACCTTGATATCATCCAGTGTCCTTAGGGAAGCTGTTTTTACCACCTCCACATCATCAAAACACTTCCCTTTTAGATTTTTCTTCATTCTCAAAAACAGAAAAATGTCGCATGGGGCTAGGTCTGGTGAATATGGAGGGTGGGGAATGACAGGCCATCCCCGAGAGGCCAAATAGTGGATCACTTGTAAGGACGTCTGTGCTGGGGCACTGTCATGATGAAGGAAAATCTGTCACCTGATTGCCAAAGTTCCGAGAGTTTCCTTTGCACATCTTCTCGCAGACGTCTTAAAATTTTTTGGCAGATTTTTTCAGCATTTTCATTCTTTCGAGATGTTGAAGGATGCCCAGAACTTAGCAGGTGGAACAAAATAACAGTAAGAAAAAAACAACACTACGCTCAAACATAAACCTACAAACTGATGCCATCTGCACAGCTGTTTTGTGAAGGTCTCTACTAACCCCATCTAGCAGGAGAACTCTCTACTATGTCTATGAATGGCGGCACGCTTTCAGTTTGGTTTTTTCTTTTGGGTCTGCCTTTGTATGTTGGGTGTAGTGGGTTATACTCAGTTGACATCAGTTGCTGTTCTGTAGTATGATGTATGTGCTTTTATTCAACTGTAATATTTCCAGACTTTTGTGTAGTGTGTGTCTGCTATGACACCTGTAGGAGGAGAGGACAACAAGTACAGTACAATAAGCACCCTATCCAACCTCCACAGATGTCTTATTTCCTGAGTGAGTTCTGTGTAATTCCTGATTTTTTTAGTGCATGTGTTTTGTATATTGTGTGTTTGGAACAGATATGTCTATAATGTATGTGATTTTATTGTGTTTATCAATGAGTATGATGTCTGGTCTGTTGTGGTAAATTGTTTTATCTGTGATCATGGCTCTGTCGTAGTACATTTTGTGCATGTTGTTTTCCAATACTGTTTGTGGTATATACTTGTAGTATGGTTTGTGAATGTCTACCAGTTTGTGTTTCTTTGCAAGCTCTTGGTGTATTATATTTGCTACTTGATTGTGTCTATGTAAGTAATCTGTCTGTGCCAAGAGCTTGCAACCAGAAGTGATGTGATGTATAGTTTCTGGCATTTTCTGCATGTGTCATCTTTGAGTATGTGTTTTATGTAGTGTTTAGTATTTATGACCTGATCCTGTATGGCAATCATGAACCCTTCTGTCTCCCCAAAGAGGCATCCTTGAGCTAACCAGCTGTTTGATGCAATATTGTCAACAAAATCTTCGGTCATAAGGATATCTGCCATGGAGTACCTTTTGAGCCCACAATTGCATGATGGTGTCTATGCTTTTTATATGTTGTGTTATGTCTGTATGATGTGAGTGTAAGTTTAGTGGTGTGTTATTTGAGTCTGCTGGAGTTATGGCTTTATGTAACTGTGATGTTTCTTGTAGAAAAACTCTTTACTTGAAAGGGTTAATCTTTCTATGGCGGATTTAGGATGATGTTGTTTATGCTTAGTAAGTGTTATTCTTGTTTTCCTTTGGAGTTGCTCAAGATCTGTGTGAGTCCAATATATAACTCCAAAAGAGTAAGTGAGTACTGGGATGACATGTGTTTATTGCTTTAACTGTGTGTTTTGCATTTAACTGTGTTCGGTGGATAACATTTAACCTACTTTGGTATTCTTTAATTAATCTTTGCTTTATTTGTGTATGATCTATTAGTTTGGCCTGTTGGAATCCTAAATACTTGTAGAACTCGCTCTCTTCCAGAGATTCAATAATGTCTCCATTTCCAAGTGCAAAATCTCCTTTCTTCCTGACTCCTTTTTCTATGTGAAGTATTTTGCATTTGTCTGGGCCAAATTCCATTTGTATGGCCTTGGAATATAAATGTGTGTTTTGAAGGAGTTGAAGTTGTTTTTGTGTAGATGCATAAAGTTTTATGTTGTCCATGTACATGAGATGTGACAGTGTAAACTGTTATTGTTTTTTCATCTCTGATATTGTAATCATATTGTGTGTTTTTAACATATTGGATAATGGGTTCAGGGCCAGGCAGAACCAGAGTGGACTCAAGGAATCTCCTTGAAAAATTCCTTGCCTAATGAATATTTGCTTTGTTTGTTTGAAAATATTATGAATCCTGAGATGTAGTGTTGTTCTCCAGTGCTGCATAGTGTTTTGGAAGAATGCAATGAGTGACGGATAAATTTTGTACATGTGTAGAATATGTAGCAGCCAACTGTGTGAAACACTGTCGAATGCTTTTCTGTAGTCTATATATATCATGTGTATGTTTCTGTGTTGTTTGTGTGCTTGCTGTAGAATGACTGAATCTATAGTAACTGTTTTTTGCATCCTGTGATTTCTACAGCAACCTTTTTGTTCCATAAGAATGCTGTGTTCTTCAATATGTTTGTATATTTTGTTTGCGATACAGGATGTCAATAATTTGTAGAGTTTTGGGAGACATGTAATCTATCACTAAAAATGTATCTATCACTAAAAATAAATTTTATATAACACTTATTAATTAATTCATTGTCAATAAAAAACAAATGAAATTGTAACACAAAGCTACAATCTCATCTGTGATCACTGATTTTCATCATCTTGTAAACAAACTATTTTGTATGAAAGTTCTTAGAGAAATAGAGGAAATCTCCCTAAAGAATTCTGAGAGAGAGAAAAATGTCTCTCCCAATTTCTGATTTTCTAACACATATAAGATCATCAAAATCAAAAAATGATACTTGAATGATGTTCTTGTTAGTTTCAATGATTAAAACTCTAGCCAAAAATATAGCCCAAGAAATCTAGCTTTTAGATATTTGGTTATAAAAATTCAGGCTTGGTAATTGATTTTAAGACTTCTTAAATTTATTATAAAATTGTAACATTTCTCAACTTATAGTATTTAATTGTCTTTTTAAAATATTTGTTCAATTATAATCAAAACTTATCAAAATGCAGTAGTTGCAGTTTTCAATATTTCCATTTTGGCATAATCCTAACATTAGATGTTTCAAGTTATTAATATCTTTCCTTTGTACATGTAAAGATATTTCTAAAGAAGTTATAATTGTTATTTATAACAAAAATATCTAAATTATAAGTAATTAGTGTATATTTAAATTTTATATGATCAGAATTAAGATAGACAATGTCACAACTAGTAATGAATTCAATAACTGAATATTATAAGAGGATTCTACTACTGTTTATTTCTATTGTAGTGATCACGCATAAAAAATTGGCTATACTATCATGAAAAGAAATCTTTGGGATATTTAATTATTGCAAGTACAACTAATTTAAAAGTATTTTTTGAGAGTAATATCTAATAAATGAAATTTTATGAAAATTCTCCACTATAATCAATTATACAATGGACTTGTTACTATCTATTGTACTATATATTTTTCTTATTAATATAGTAATTTAAATTTTCATACTTCTATTTAAATTTAATAAATAGCTAATTAATATTTAACTTACCTCACATAAATCTACCAAACACTTATGTATATTCTGAAACAAATCATATGCTTGCGAATAAGTATCATATTCTATAATATAATTAGAATACTTTTTCTTCATAAATTTTCTTTTTCTATAAGTATTATATGCAACCTATAAAGAATTAAAAATAGGAACAAAAAATTAAAAAGTTGTATATTTCTTTGAGTTAAAAATTAATTGAGGTTAATAAAATGTTAAAAGTAATTATTCAAATAGTAGTGTGAACGAACTCCTTAAACAATTAATCTATTTAACCTTTCTGTTTTAATGAAAAAAATCAAATAAAAAATTTAATGTTCTTAAATATTTTTAAGTATCATATTTCCTTGATTAAACCCCAGGGTATGAATAAATCCAGTTTTCAAATAAATCCCAGGAAATAAAAGTGCTGTTAAAAATAAACCCTGGTTTGAAAAGCATGGAAAACATGTTGAAGTACAGCACTGTACAGAGTAATATAGTTTAGAGTAACAGGTAAGAAGTTTAACTAAAATTCTACCTCTTCAAATTGTCTGGAGTCATACAGCACTTTCTATTCCAAAGTTAACAGAAATTTTTATTGAAATAAAATTATAAATATTGTCAAATACTGAGCATTAGAAAATCATGATCAAGTTCCAAACTCAAAAGTCAAAGGGTATTAAGAAAACTTTCGTTCAAACTCACCATCTCTTTTGGAAAGAAATGGAGAATTTGAACCAAAAGATGGTAGTCAAGGCCATGATTCCTACAATGAAACTGAAGTAGACACAAATGACAACATAATAACCAAACTGAACAATGTTGAATCAGATTAACTATAAAAAACATTAATTATTTTAAATCTTGTAGTTGTAATCCAGAAATACAGCAAATAAATAATTTTGATAGTTTTGAAAATGTATGAAAAATTAAGGTGTTTCTTTCAATTTTTACACATTTGTCTACTGTTGCAAGGTAATAAAAATCCCAGCCTTGAAAAAAACCTGGAGGATACATACATTTAAAAAAAAATTCCCAGGATTTAATTGAGAAAATACAATGTATAACATTTTATTTTCAAAAAACAATATCCTAATGTAAAAAAATGTTTTCATTAATATTTTAGTAAAATAAAATATTTTCTTTAATAAAATTATAAATTATTATTTCAGTTATTATAAATGTATGTTTATAAGATACATGTGCTTAATAACATAAGTTTACTAAGTATTCTATTCTGATCACCTTCAGCAATTCAACCTGATATATTGTATCATTTTTCAAAATGCTTCACATGTATGCTGCAGTTTATAATAACTCTTTGTATGAGCAATATTAATTAAATAATTGTAAATAGTATTTTAAATATTTAATATAGAATAAGCAATGACAAGACAAAAAAATGTAATTTAAAATAATACAAAGCAAATTAATAATAATAAATATCTTTAAAAATAGAAAGATGGTTATTTAAATTAATCAACTGCTTGGATACCATGGCATTTTATGATGTGTTCAGGTGATTTTCGCTAATTTACAATGCATAATTTTTCTTTTGAAATTTTAATTTTTCTGGTAAAGTACTTAAGGTCCCTTTATGACTGTATTATTTTGTTTTTCTGTAAGAAGTCTGCTTCTGTTCAAACACATCTGCAAGTGAGTGAGTGAGGTTAATGTAGGTTTATTATATCAGATAACTAAAATTATTATTATAAAAATATATTATTATGTTAATGTATTTTAACTTGTACAAAGCTTTATTTGAAATATAAAATATAATACAGTGGTACTCAGTACTAAACTTAATCCATTTGAGAAGGCTATTCAAGTGCCAATCTGTTCAGATACCAAATGAATTTATCCCACAAGGAATAATATAATTTAGATTAATCCATCCCAGACCACCCAAAAATACACTTATAAAAGCATTTCAACTAGAATTTAACACAGATTTAGCAAGAATTATACAAGCCTAACATACATAACTTAGAAAAAATTCAAAAAATGTGAAGAAATAAAAAGTTCACAGTGAAGTTTATCAAAGTTGTGCAATGAGTGACAGCTACAGGAAGACTGATACATTTCCTTTGTTTCAACTGGGAATACCCATATGCAATACAGTGACAAAATACTCCTGTTAATTTCAGCAATAATTTTGTGTGACAAATAAACTCTAGGATTTCATTTTATTTTTAAATTAGTTAATTATTTTCATCGTAGAAAAATTTTATGAATGACAAAATTAAAGTTAAAATAAAAATATTTATTATTAATCAAAAATCTGTTCTAGTAGATAGTGTTTGTTCTGCTAAGTGTCAAGCAAACAGTCGATTACCAAGTGATTTTTTCCAACATTTTAATATCAAACTGTTTAAAATGGGAGCAGTTCGAATACTGAGTTACCACTGTATATATTCCAACTTCAGATAAATTCAGAATTTAATGATGTATAAATAAATAGTGGGTTTAAAAAGTTATAATATACTTTTTTTAAAAAAGCAGTCATTATCATCATTAATATATCATTATAATACTATATTAATAATATTGTTTAAATATTACTTTTATATATCTTAATTTTTTAATTATATTTTTTAAATTGTCATTCAAATAAATCGCACTATAAACCTATTGTCTGGTGTTGATAATACTGTATGTACACTGCATATGCAATTTATTTGTCATCTGGTGAGTGTTCTTTTTCATAAATTGCACAAAAATAAGCAATGCATTTCTTAAAAAAAAATCAAACAAGTGAGTAATTATTTTATGATGTGCTATAAGATAGAAAATAACATTATTATTTTATTTTCAATTATTTATTTATTTATGCCTGTAATATTTCAGATAATATATTTAGTTATGCTATGTTTAAGTTATGCATAAGTTTAATTATGTAAATTAAGTTATATATTTAGTTATGCATAAGTTTAATTATGTAAATTATTAACATTTTTTGTTAACTGTAACAAAATAATTTTAAAACTCTTACCAAAGCTACATTTGCAAGACCTTTAGTTTTTGCAAAGGAAGAAAAATAGCCATGTCGTTCTATAGCTTTTGATTTCATTTCTTCTCCATCCTTAAGAAGTCGACCCAACAGACACACTTCCCAAATGCAAGAAGCAAATGTTTTCTGCTTTTCATTTCTCATTAGCACAAACTAAATTGATAAATCAAGTAATTATAATATAATAAATAACTGGTAATTTGTAATGGATAACAATAATATATATATTATATACACTGTATAATGACAATACATATAATTTAAAATCTGCAATATACAGTAAAACTCCAATTATCCAAATGATGATTATCCAAATTGCTAATTTTCCAGATTGCCCTCTGACTTTGTTAAAAATAAATAGGCATGTACAGTAGGCCTACATATATGTACAGTACATGCCTATTTATTTTTAAATTAGCTAATATATATGTACTGTATATGCATGAAAAATAATTTTTTTCTAAATGTAGAAAATAAATTATAGTTATTTTTAAGTATATTTCCACATAATTATGTACACATTTATATAACAGGATATTTACAGAGGGGGGAAAAAAGACTATTTTAAGCAAAGATCCAATTATCCAGATATTCTGCATATTTGGACAGCCTGAGGTTCAATTAATTCATACATTTGGAGTTTTACTGTATTTATTTAATTATACAGTAGATTGCATATATATTTGTAATAAGTTTATAAATCAGACCAATTACAAAGATAACGTTAAAAGGAAAAACTTAGAATTTTTTAAAAAATTAATAATAGTTTTCTGACAGAAAATGCTTTTTGTAAATCTTGTCATATTAATGAAGGCAATTTCACTGCTGGTATTGTTTTAATAATATAAAAATAAAGAATATATATACAGTAGAGCATAGTTTATCCGAATCAATTGGGGACTGGGGTTGTTCGGATAACCGATTATGTACAAAAAAATACTGCATATTAACCCATCCCATGTTGAAATTTTTCTCCGTTGTGTGTCACTTCACATTGAATTTTCGTCGATGTTAAGCCTAACGTAAATTTTTTTTAAATAATAATTGTGGCTATTGTATCGTTAAAAATTATTTCTTTATTTTGTACAAACAAAATAAATATATTGAAAAAAATATATAAAAACAAAAAATTATATTTTAAAAGTTAATCTAGTATAAAAAATGTTCGATTCAGCACGACACAGTCCGACTGGAATGCTTTCAGTTAACCAACATTTCAGTTGATTGGCTTTCAGATAAACGACACTGTATATATATATTTTTTAATTTTAAGATAACAGTTCTGTCAGAAAAGTTTTAACAGCTATTTATGAATATCAAAATCATTTCATTTATTTTTCTTTTCTTCTTTTATGTAATTATAATAGACTCCTGCAAGAGAAAGAACTTCTCTAAGAGAGAAACTTGTGAAAGCCAGAACACTGGACTTATTTTGGCATTACTAAAAAATTTTTCCTACAAAATATCCTATTCTAAGGTGTCTAAATCCACAAGTTGTGAAAAAAGTAATCCTCTGTTACTAATTTGTGTTAGTTATAATTAGTCAAAAAGGGAAACATAAACAATTATTAAATCAAAAAGTCATACTCAAAAACATTAAAAATGCATTTAGAAAAGCATTTTTATATAAAATGGTCAAATAGGCAACAAATAAACATATCAAATTTTAATCTGTCATTATTTCTTTCAAATTATTGTTTCACATGTATCATTTGTGGATTTTTATAGCTTAATGATACTATTACAAAGTGTCTATGAAAGGTCCTATTATCAAGATGAAAGGATATCAGATTTAAAGATCTATTTTGTAAACAGACATCCCTGACTATAATGGAAGAAATAATCACTTGTTATGAAATAATTAATTTTATTGCTAATTTTATTGCTAATAAAACACTGTTAGAAAGAAGGTATAAAAAGAGCTGTAAACCTCTTCTTATACCTTCTTTCTAACAGTGTTTTATTTTCAGTTCTTCAATTTTTTTATTGCAATACTGTTTATAAAATTTTATATTCAGAACTTTTTGAAATATAGTATGTAACAATTTAATAATCATTTATATCAATTTAAAAACTTAAAATAGAGTGATAATACAATAATTAAAAGACATACATAAGGTACCGTACATGTCCATTTTTTAAGAAGAATTATGAAATGTTATAATCAGAAGTCTGGCTCCAGAAAAATTTAGTAGATGATGATATTATATTGTTTTCTCACCTAAATAATCTTAAATTAGAGAACAGAATTAAATCTGAATTTTTAAATATAGAACCAAATCTTTTATAGACAACTAACATACATTTAAAAAAAGAAAAAAAGACAGTTTGTGTTTCTAATGATTTGTTTCTCAGAAGTACAATTTTTTAGTTATTGCTACATCAAATAGATCAAGCTGTCTTGATACACTGTACCCATTTTCAAACATATCCTCATGATCAGTGAAGGGTATAAATTTATATATTTCAAATATTGGTGTAGATAGTTTACAGAAAAATTAAAAAGTAATTTGTTATAAATTAGGAAGCATTGTTTGTCATGTTGCTTTGTGACATCAACTGTAGTGATGTGAAGTGCTGATCTATAAAACAGGAAAAAGCATTATGATAACTTAGGTCAATTGGCTCTCACAGAAGCAAAGTGACCTAAGTAATCTTAAAAGAGGAAAAAAATGATAAAATCAATGCTATAAATTTTTATTGCAGAACATACAATAAAAAATGGTTGCAAATACCCAATAGAGGGTGGTGCATGTGACGTCACATGACTCCGCTCATGTATACAGAGACTGCACAAAGAAGTGCGTCCGTATTGGTTGCTGTTGGTTTGGTTGTCGACCTTGATATGACCATCTAACTCATATTTTTTCAAGTTTAATTTTAATTTATTATGGTTCATTGCATAGTATTTGGTTGCAATTCCAACTGCGGAAAGCATACAGATCGGTCGTTTATCCGAATTCTGACAGTAATTCACCATCAAGATAAAAAAAATCAAAGATCTTTCAAAAATTGATGGGACAGTCAAATATTGCATACCAACCATCTTTGAGAAAATTTTTTCATGGAGTCATAAAATCCTCTGTTCCCTTCAGAATGATTATGGTGACACACACAATTAACTTTTAATTTAAAGGTTACAAATAAAATGTATGATTTTACTTGAAAACAAACTGAAATAAAAGGTGTAATAAAAAGATAAACTTCTTACCTTGATAGCTCTTTCACATCTGGACTTAATGTTTTAAAGCCAAATTACAGAAGAAAAAAATTACTTAAATAGAACAGTAATGTTAATGTTATAACAGAAGGAAAGTATGGAAATCAGTCAAAAAATATCCCACCAAGATTTTGACATTTTTGGACTCAGGGACTTTGAAACATCAAAAAATGCAAAAATATTTGGGGGGTTTTTACTGTATGTATGGATCTTTGTGTGTGAAAGCATGATTTTGTTTACCCATTTTAAAGCTTAATTACTCCTGTGTCCTTTGTCAAAAATTTCTGAAGTTTTTCAGGGAAATATATGTATTAAGAAATTGATGTTATTAAATGTTGATTGTTAAAGATGGGGATTTAGAGGGTCTCATATCTTGAGTGAGTTGGACTTAATGAAGATTTTACTCATCATTAGCATTTACAAGTTTTTATAAAACTCTTCTTTAATTTTAAAATTAAGTTTGACATTTTCTAATAATTAATAATATAAAAAGTTTTTTAAATAGAATATTATAACAGATGGCACCATACACAATTTTAAGTGTTTTTGCCAGGAAAGTTATGCAACTCAATACTGATTTTTTTAATCATGAATTAAATTTATTCAAATTTAATAGCAACAATCTTTAATTTAAACTTATCTAAAATTATAAAAATATACATAAAAGTTACACAATATTCTTATATTCTATATTTTTAAAAATATAGCTTTTACTGAATTTTTTAAAATTTTAATATAAGCATAAAATTATTTCTCAAAATTAAGTATAAATTTACTTACATCAAGCATGTTAAAAAAAATATGTTGTTGTGATGCCAAAAATGTTTGATAGAAAGTCCAATTATAAGTTGATAAAAATCTTCCCTCTTGAATATAAGTTATAGCCTAAAATAAATATAATTATTATGTAAGTATAAAAATGATATGTTTAAATTAATAAAAAGTTTTATTTATTATACTGATAGTTGATAGAAAATATAAACAAGACATATTGTGCACTATATTCAGCATTTCTCAAAATTCTCAGAAAAGTTACTGTAAAAATATTCCATTATAGACTAACTGTTACAAATATATTTTTTCTAATAAGATTTTACCAGGCCTACGATTACTTGTAAAATGTAAAGACACCAGACACCAAGTAATGATACAAAATTAACAACACAACTGTCTATTGGTATTATGGAAAAATTTATTCCATAATACTAAATTTCATTCCACAGTTCCAGTATGTCAAATGTGGGAGAGTTGCACGTTCATTGTGTCAATGTCAGTGTGCAACTTCCCCACACTTGACATACTGGAACTGTGGATAGTATTATTTAAGTTTCTGAAGTCATAAGTTGCATATTTCATGATAAAAAGCTTTTTGCTTCATTAATGATACTGCTGTGCATTAATTTATTTTTGTATTTTAGTTCAGCAACTTTTATTACTTTTATTTCACTGTGTACCCTGGTTGTTAAAAATTTTTTAATTTTATATATTTCAATTATATGTTTGTGTACAAGAAATAATTNTTTCTATAAGTATTATATGCAACCTATAAAGAATTAAAAATAGGAACAAAAAATTAAAAAGTTGTATATTTCTTTGAGTTAAAAATTAATTGAGGTTAATAAAATGTTAAAAGTAATTATTCAAATAGTAGTGTGAACGAACTCCTTAAACAATTAATCTATTTAACCTTTCTGTTTTAATGAAAAAAATCAAATAAAAAATTTAATGTTCTTAAATATTTTTAAGTATCATATTTCCTTGATTAAACCCCAGGGTATGAATAAATCCAGTTTTCAAATAAATCCCAGGAAATAAAAGTGCTGTTAAAAATAAACCCTGGTTTGAAAAGCATGGAAAACATGTTGAAGTACAGCACTGTACAGAGTAATATAGTTTAGAGTAACAGGTAAGAAGTTTAACTAAAATTCTACCTCTTCAAATTGTCTGGAGTCATACAGCACTTTCTATTCCAAAGTTAACAGAAATTTTTATTGAAATAAAATTATAAATATTGTCAAATACTGAGCATTAGAAAATCATGATCAAGTTCCAAACTCAAAAGTCAAAGGGTATTAAGAAAACTTTCGTTCAAACTCACCATCTCTTTTGGAAAGAAATGGAGAATTTGAACCAAAAGATGGTAGTCAAGGCCATGATTCCTACAATGAAACTGAAGTAGACACAAATGACAACATAATAACCAAACTGAACAATGTTGAATCAGATTAACTATAAAAAACATTAATTATTTTAAATCTTGTAGTTGTAATCCAGAAATACAGCAAATAAATAATTTTGATAGTTTTGAAAATGTATGAAAAATTAAGGTGTTTCTTTCAATTTTTACACATTTGTCTACTGTTGCAAGGTAATAAAAATCCCAGCCTTGAAAAAAACCTGGAGGATACATACATTTAAAAAAAAATTCCCAGGATTTAATTGAGAAAATACAATGTATAACATTTTATTTTCAAAAAACAATATCCTAATGTAAAAAAATGTTTTCATTAATATTTTAGTAAAATAAAATATTTTCTTTAATAAAATTATAAATTATTATTTCAGTTATTATAAATGTATGTTTATAAGATACATGTGCTTAATAACATAAGTTTACTAAGTATTCTATTCTGATCACCTTCAGCAATTCAACCTGATATATTGTATCATTTTTCAAAATGCTTCACATGTATGCTGCAGTTTATAATAACTCTTTGTATGAGCAATATTAATTAAATAATTGTAAATAGTATTTTAAATATTTAATATAGAATAAGCAATGACAAGACAAAAAAATGTAATTTAAAATAATACAAAGCAAATTAATAATAATAAATATCTTTAAAAATAGAAAGATGGTTATTTAAATTAATCAACTGCTTGGATACCATGGCATTTTATGATGTGTTCAGGTGATTTTCGCTAATTTACAATGCATAATTTTTCTTTTGAAATTTTAATTTTTCTGGTAAAGTACTTAAGGTCCCTTTATGACTGTATTATTTTGTTTTTCTGTAAGAAGTCTGCTTCTGTTCAAACACATCAGCAAGTGAGTGAGTGAGGTTAATGTAGGTTTATTATATCAGATAACTAAAATTATTATTATAAAAATATATTATTATGTTAATGTATTTTAACTTGTACAAAGCTTTATTTGAAATATAAATTATAATACAGTGGTACTCAGTACTAAACTTAATTCATTTGAGAAGGCTATTCAAGTGCCAATCTGTTCAGATACCAAATGAATTTATCCCACAAGGAATAATATAATTTAGATTAATCCATCCCAGACCACCCAAAAATACACTTATAAAAGCATTTCAACTAGAATTTAACACAGATTTAGCAAGAATTATACAAGCCTAACATACATAACTTAGAAAAAATTCAAAAAATGTGAAGAAATAAAAAGTTCACAGTGAATAAAAAGTTCATTGCACAAAGTTGTGAAATGAGTGACAGCTACAGGAAGACTGATACATTTCCTTTGTTTCAACTGGGAATACCCATATGCAATACAGTGACAAAATACTCCTGTTAATTTCAGCAATAATTTTGTGTGACAAATAAACTCTAGGATTTCATTTTATTTTTAAATTAGTTAATTATTTTCATCGTAGAAAAATTTTATGAATGACAAAATTAAAGTTAAAATAAAAATATTTATTATTAATCAAAAATCTGTTCTAGTAGATAGTGTTTGTTCTGCTAAGTGTCAAGCAAACAGTCGATTACCAAGTGATTTTTTCCAACATTTTAATATCAAACTGTTTAAAATGGGAGCAGTTCGAATACTGAGTTACCACTGTATATATTCCAACTTCAGATAAATTCAGAATTTAATGATGTATAAATAAATAGTGGGTTTAAAAAGTTATAATATACTTTTTTTAAAAAAGCAGTCATTATCATCATTAATATATCATTATAATACTATATTAATAATATTGTTTAAATATTACTTTTATATATCTTAATTTTTTAACTATATTTTTTAAATTGTCATTCAAATAAATCGCACTATAAACCTATTGTCTGGTGTTGATAATACTGTATGTACACTGCATATGCAATTTATTTGTCATCTGGTGAGTGTTCTTTTTCATAAATTGCACAAAAATAAGCAATGCATTTCTTAAAAAAAAAATCAAACAAGTGAGTAATTATTTTATGATGTGCTATAAGATAGAAAATAACATTATTATTTTATTTTCAATTATTTATTTATTTATGCCTGTAATATTTCAGATAATATATTTAGTTATGCTATGTTTAAGTTATGCATAAGTTTAATTATGTAAATTAAGTTATATATTTAGTTATGCATAAGTTTAATTATGTAAATTATTAACATTTTTTGTTAACTGTAACAAAATAATTTTAAAACTCTTACCAAAGCTACATTTGCAAGACCTTTAGTTTTTGCAAAGGAAGAAAAATAGCCATGTCGTTCTATAGCTTTTGATTTCATTTCTTCTCCATCCTTAAGAAGTCGACCCAACAGACACACTTCCCAAATGCAAGAAGCAAATGTTTTCTGCTTTTCATTTCTCATTAGAACAAACTAAATTGATAAATCAAGTAATTATAATATAATAAATAACTGGTAATTTGTAATGGATAACAATAATATATATATTATATACACTGTATAATGACAATACATATAATTTAAAATCTGCAATATACAGTAAAACTCCAATTATCCAAATGATGATTATCCAAATTGCTAATTTTCCAGATTGCCCTCTGACTTTGTTAAAAATAAATAGGCATGTACAGTAGGCCTACATATATGTACAGTACATGCCTATTTATTTTTAAATTAGCTAATATATATGTACTGTATATGCATGAAAAATAATTTTTTTCTAAATGTAGAAAATAAATTATAGTTATTTTTAAGTATATTTCCACATAATTATGTACACATTTATATAACAGGATATTTACAGAGGGGGGAAAAAAGACTATTTTAAGCAAAGATCCAATTATCCAGATATTCTGCATATTTGGACAGCCTGAGGTTCAATTAATTCATACATTTGGAGTTTTACTGTATTTATTTAATTATACAGTAGATTGCATATATATTTGTAATAAGTTTATAAATCAGACCAATTACAAAGATAACGTTAAAAGGAAAAACTTAGAATTTTTTAAAAAATTAATAATAGTTTTCTGACAGAAAATGCTTTTTGTAAATCTTGTCATATTAATGAAGGCAATTTCACTGCTGGTATTGTTTTAATAATATAAAAATAAAGAATATATATACAGTAGAGCATAGTTTATCCGAATCAATTGGGGACTGGGGTTGTTCGGATAACCGATTATGTACAAAAAAATACTGCATATTAACCCATCCCATGTTGAAATTTTTCTCCGTTGTGTGTCACTTCACATTGAATTTTCGTCGATGTTAAGCCTAACGTAAATTTTTTTTAAATAATAATTGTGGCTATTGTATCGTTAAAAATTATTTCTTTATTTTGTACAAACAAAATAAATATATTGAAAAAAATATATAAAAACAAAAAATTATATTTTAAAAGTTAATCTAGTATAAAAAATGTTCGATTCAGCACGACACAGTCCGACTGGAATGCTTTCAGTTAACCAACATTTCAGTTGATTGGCTTTCAGATAAATGACACTGTATATATATATTTTTTAATTTTAAGATAACAGTTCTGTCAGAAAAGTTTTAACAGCTATTTATGAATATCAAAATCATTTCATTTATTTTTCTTTTCTTCTTTTATGTAATTATAATAGACTCCTGCAAGAGAAAGAACTTCTCTAAGAGAGAAACTTGTGAAAGCCAGAACACTGGACTTATTTTGGCATTACTAAAAAATTTTTCCTACAAAATATCCTATACTAAGGTGTCTAAATCCACAAGTTGTGAAAAAAGTAATCCTCTGTTACTAATTTGTGTTAGTTATAATTAGTCAAAAAGGGAAACATAAACAATTATTAAATCAAAAAGTCATACTCAAAAACATTAAAAATGCATTTAGAAAAGCATTTTTATATAAAATGGTCAAATAGGCAACAAATAAACATATCAAATTTTAATCTGTCATTATTTCTTTCAAATTATTGTTTCACATGTATCATTTGTGGATTTTTATAGCTTAATGATACTATTACAAAGTGTCTATGAAAGGTCCTATTATCAAGATGAAAGGATATCAGATTTAAAGATCTATTTTGTAAACAGACATCCCTGACTATAATGGAAGAAATAATCACTTGTTATGAAATAATTAATTTTATTGCTAATTTTATTGCTAATAAAACACTGTTAGAAAGAAGGTATAAAAAGAGCTGTAAACCTCTTCTTATACCTTCTTTCTAACAGTGTTTTATTTTCAGTTCTTCAATTTTTTTATTGCAATACTGTTTATAAAATTTTATATTCAGAACTTTTTGAAATATAGTATGTAACAATTTAATAATCATTTATATCAATTTAAAAACTTAAAATAGAGTGATAATACAATAATTAAAAGACATACATAAGGTACCGTACATGTCCATTTTTTAAGAAGAATTATGAAATGTTATAATCAGAAGTCTGGCTCCAGAAAAATTTAGTAGATGATGATATTATATTGTTTTCTCACCTAAATAATCTTAAATTAGAGAACAGAATTAAATCTGAATTTTTAAATATAGAACCAAATATTTTATAGACAACTAACATACATTTAAAAAAAGAAAAAAAGACAGTTTGTGTTTCTAATGATTTGTTTCTCAGAAGTACAATTTTTTAGTTATTGCTACATCAAATAGATCAAGCTGTCTTGATACACTGTACCCATTTTCAAACATATCCTCATGATCAGTGAAGGGTATAAATTTATATATTTCAAATATTGGTGTAGATAGTTTACAGAAAAATTAAAAAGTAATTTGTTATAAATTAGGAAGCATTGTTTGTCATGTTGCTTTGTGACATCAACTGTAGTGATGTGAAGTGCTGATCTATAAAACAGGAAAAAGCATTATGATAACTTAGGTCAATTGGCTCTCACAGAAGCAAAGTGACCTAAGTAATCTTAAAAGAGGAAAAAAATGATAAAATCAATGCTATAAATTTTTATTGCAGAACATACAATAAAAAATGGTTGCAAATACCCAATAGAGGGTGGTGCATGTGACGTCACATGACTCCGCTCATGTATACAGAGACTGCACAAAGAAGTGCGTCCGTATTGGTTGCTGTTGGTTTGGTTGTCGACCTTGATATGACCATCTAACTCATATTTTTTCAAGTTTAATTTTAATTTATTATGGTTCATTGCATAGTATTTGGTTGCAATTCCAACTGCGGAAAGCATACAGATCGGTCGTTTATCCGAATTCTGACAGTAATTCACCATCAAGATAAAAAAAATCAAAGATCTTTCAAAAATTGATGGGACAGTCAAATATTGCATACCAACCATCTTTGAGAAAATTTTTTCATGGAGTCATAAAATCCTCTGTTCCCTTCAGAATGATTATGGTGACACACACAATTAACTTTTAATTTAAAGGTTACAAATAAAATGTATGATTTTACTTGAAAACAAACTGAAATAAAAGGTGTAATAAAAAGATAAACTTCTTACCTTGATAGCTCTTTCACATCTGGACTTAATGTTTTAAAGCCAAATTACAGAAGAAAAAAATTACTTAAATAGAACAGTAATGTTAATGTTATAACAGAAGGAAAGTATGGAAATCAGTCAAAAAATATCCCACCAAGATTTTGACATTTTTGGACTCAGGGACTTTGAAACATCAAAAAATGCAAAAATATTTGGGGGTTTTTACTGTATGTATGGATCTTTGTGTGTGAAAGCATGATTTTGTTTACCCATTTTAAAGCTTAATTACTCCTGTGTCCTTTGTCAAAAATTTCTGAAGCTTTTCAGGGAAATATATGTATTAAGAAATTGATGTTATTAAATGTTGATTGTTAAAGATGGGGATTTAGAGGGTCTCATATCTTGAGTGAGTTGGACTTAATGAAGATTTTACTCATCATTAGCATTTACAAGTTTTTATAAAACTCTTCTTTAATTTTAAAATTAAGTTTGACATTTTCTAATAATTAATAATATAAAAAGTTTTTTAAATAGAATATTATAACAGATGGCACCATACACAATTTTAAGTGTTTTTGCCAGGAAAGTTATGCAACTCAATACTGATTTTTTTAATCATGAATTAAATTTATTCAAATTTAATAGCAACAATCTTTAATTTAAACTTATCTAAAATTATAAAAATATACATAAAAGTTACACAATATTCTTATATTCTATATTTTTAAAAATATAGCTTTTATTGAATTTTTTAAAATTTTAATATAAGCATAAAATTATTTCTCAAAATTAAGTAGAAATTTACTTACATCAAGCATGTTAAAAAAAATATGTTGTTGTGATGCCAAAAATGTTTGATAGAAAGTCCAATTATAAGTTGATAAAAATCTTCCCTCTTGAATATAAGTTATAGCCTAAAATAAATATAATTATTATGTAAGTATAAAAATGATATGTTTAAATTAATAAAAAGTTTTATTTATTATACTGATAGTTGATAGAAAATATAAACAAGACATATTGTGCACTATATTCAGCATTTCTCAAAATTCTCAGAAAAGTTACTGTAAAAATATTCCATTATAGACTAACTGTTACAAATATATTTTTTCTAATAAGATTTTACCAGGCCTACGATTACTTGTAAAATGTAAAGACACCAGACACCAAGTAATGATACAAAATTAACAACACAACTGTCTATTGGTATTATGGAAAAATTTATTCCATAATACTAAATTTCATTCCACAGTTCCAGTATGTCAAATGTGGGAGAGTTGCACGTTCATTGTGTCAATGTCAATGTGCAACTTCCCCACACTTGACATACTGGAACTGTGGATAGTATTATTTAAGTTTCTGAAGTCATAAGTTGCATATTTCATGATAAAAAGCTTTTTGCTTCATTAATGATACTGCTGTGCATTAATTTATTTTTGTATTTTAGTTCAGCAACTTTTATTACTTTTATTTCACTGTGTACCCTGGTTGTTAAAAATTTTTTAATTTTATATATTTCAATTATATGTTTGTGTACAAGAAATAATTCTAAAAAATTTTCTTTACCATTTATTTTCCATTTTTTCAAATAGTGGCAAATGTTCTCTGTGAATGATAATATTGCCTGAACAGGATACACAAGTACTTTTGACAGTTATATACTGTCAAAAGTACTTGTATAAATAAAATTTTTCTCTAATGCTGATAGACAGTTGTACTGTTAATTTTGCATAATTACTTTTCCTGTGTTTTAAATAAATCCAGGAAGAAACAAAATCAGTTTTTAAATATTAAAATTATTATGAATTATTATGTTATAAAAGAATTAAACTGTAATTGTTAAATGCACTTGTAATTATCATTGAAATTGTAAAAATGTTTCTGATTGATAAATTTATTACTTCTTTCAAAATATTTTTATAAATATTTTTTTGATGATGAAATTATCACAATGTATGAATTAAAATATTTTTAAAAAAATAAAAGAAATGAGGAGTATAATTCAAAAGCATAGAAAATAAGCTTTTTTTTCTTCCATAGTACCACAGGACAAATTGATTGCACAAAGAATGAAAAATAATAACAATAAATACTATTATAAATGAGCAATTATTTATTGTGACACAGTCACAATGCCAGGATGCAATTTTTCATCAATGCTCTCGATCTTTTTAGTAGTGTCTTGCCACTGTATATCATACTTTTCCTGTTAGTAATACAATCATGCTGGTCATCTATCTAACTCAATTCAGGAGAAATTTTTTAAACTGAAATTATAATTAGAAACTAATTAATTAATAATTAATAATAATTGTTTGGCATAGTATCAATATATCAGGTTTCAGAAAGTTGATATATATAAATACACCGTATTTACTTGCATATAAGACAATCTCACATATAGGATGGTGTGTGACTTTAGTAATCAAAATAAAGAAAATTAGATATATTAGTACAATTCTTGTTTAATCACAAATAAAATACTATCAAATGTACATAAATGCACACATTGTCCCCAAAAATTACTAGCAGTTTAAACTTTAAGGAAAAAGCTTATAAAATTGACAACATAATTTGTTCATATAAAGCTAAAGCTGGACAATTGGGAACCTTTTTTGCCAATTCTTAATAGTCTAATCCACCCTCCATCAATTACACTTATGGTTTCTCTGAATAATCAACTGTTTTCCCGTGGGAATGGATTAAAATTTATATTGGGCTCCCATGCGATTTTGAAGTTTTGTTTATTTGTTTGTTTAGTTAAGTTATGGCAACACACACCTTGGGCGATCTGCCTAGGAGATGCCTTATGGGAGATCTTTTTAAGAGTATCTGGCCCCTATTCAGGCATTACAGACATGGAGAAAACCCAGAAAACTCCACAATTCCACATGGCCAGCCCATCCTGGTGAGACACAAACCCACGACCAAACTCCCAGTGTTCAGGGAATGGAACCACTTGGCCACTGGTGGAATTCCAATTTGGAATTTAATTCAAAAGATATGCTTTTCCTATTGCTATTTATCTTTACTCCTGACAACACACAAGAATAATTCAAACAACTCAGATAAAATAGTTTTGTTTTTAAACACAAGAGAGCAAGCATCCAGTAAAAAATGCAAATACAAGGTTGATAAAAATTATTGCAAAAATGCAAAGAATCCTTTCCTCATGCTTATAGGATGACCTAGGTTTTTGAAGCAGTGAAAAATAAATAAAAACCTCATCTTATATGCAAGTAAATATGATATATAACATGCCAGGTAAAGCATTAGCTGGCTAAGTGCCATAGTGGAGGAGTACATACACACATACAAGAAAGATATTGACTATACATGAAGTGTTTAGCTGGCAGAAAAGAGGAGAAGGAGAAGGGGAGGGGAAAAAGAGGAAGAAGAGATAGACAGTAGAGAAAGGTAGGATCCCTCTGAATGGCATACATAAGGCTACAGTACCCTCTATGTTTGATGTTGGCATGCAGTTTTTGAGTTCCACCATGAATAGACAAGTGGCTGTTAGTAGGAAGACTTATATCTATTTAATGCTAACAAAACTAAACAGGAGCAACATTTTCCAAAGTAAGAACAAATTTACCCTATCATAAAGATGAATGTGATAACCACATAACTTTTAAGAAAACAAATTGCATGATTTAAAAATTAAACTTTTTTATCAAGAGTGTATGATACTGTAGAGTTACTATTATTATTATTTAATTATTTATCAAATGTTATGTTTATTCCGAAATATTAGTTGTTTTTATGTATATTTTGTTTCTTATATAGTTCAAGAGACATGAATATGAATATGTTCACTCTATATTCTTTATATGTTCGAAATAAAGTATTATGGCTTAAAGAAATAAGAGAGTTAATAAAGAATTAAAATAATGACAAGCATATAGCATAAATACATTTTTTTCTTATGAATCATTTCCAATAACGATCGTGAAACTTAATTCATCTTGTTCATTTACGTCTGTATTAAATTATCTCTCTCTAAACTTGTTAGTTTGAAGTTAATATATGCAACGTGAAGACAGACTTCAGAGATAACATAAAATTATAATGTAAAAAGTACTAGATGTAAAAGTAAAGTAACTAAACTTATAAACGAAAATGAGATAGGAAGAACTCGCATAACAGAGGAATTTCATATGGTTTTATTAATTTTTTATTGCAAATATCATAATAATAGTTAACAATTATGTCATTTCATAATTATAATTTTTATAATAAAAATATTTCAATGANGTGTATTAGTTTTAATCCCATTTTTTTTGAAAAATTAGCCAAAGTTACCTCATTTTATGGTATGTGTTGTGATGTCTGAGATGAAGTGTCATTCTCTAGTGTTGTGTTGTTTCCAGAAATAAATGTATTGACTATATTTTGTATGTGTAGAGTATAAAGCAACAGTAAAAGTGGTATGCTATCAAATGCCTTCCTATAATCTATTTATTATTACCATTATTATTATTAAATATTACCTTAATAGGCAAATCAAGAGCCCATGCAACAGTTGACATTGTAAGAGGGGACATTGCTCCAGGCATTACCTCTCTATATAGAAATTAAAATAAAATAATTTGAAATTATATAACAAAATGATAATTAAAACAAATTTTTATTAAATTACTGAAAATTATAACTTTTTTATTAATATGAGAGCATTTCTAATATCTGATCCAAACTACATAAATACAAAAATGATAGTATAAAATTATAGTATTTTAAAATTTTCAAATATAATTATTATTATCTTAAAAATTTAATGTATCTATGAAATAAGTTATTATTAATTGCTTAGTTAATAAATTTGGAGAATTCTGTAAAATAGAAAAAGCATTCAAAAAAATTAATAGACTGTCTTCACAATCTTCTTTTAAAGATCAATCTTCTTTTTAGAGCAAAAATTAATAGACTGTCTTCACAATCTTCTTTTTCACACATCTATATAACCAGAAGAAACACCTGGTCTTTTCTAACACCATCTCAAGGTGTAAAATCCATAACAGGCTAGAGTCAAGTTGACTTAAATGGATCAAATGATTTTATTGTCCATTTGATCTTATCAATGAAAACCTCCAAGATTCCCTATTGGATCTGGATGAGGGCCAGACACTTGAATTATAAGTTCTAAGGCCTGGGAAATGAGTCTCAAGTTCCCAACGTCTTCAGCATTACCAGTGGGAAGAATCAAGGAACCTAGTTTAAAACGGAATTCTTAGCTAAAATTCTTTACAAGTCTGAAACTGCTAAAAATGTTAGAAATGTTTGAGCAAAAGTTTTTCCAAAAAGATCATTTTGCTCTTCTAAATGCTTTCCTATACTGGATGAGAGCATTTTTGATAAAGTTCTTACTCATCAGTATGCTTTGCTCAGTTACATAACTTTGGAGTTGAAGACCTCAGAAATTTCAACTTTCTTTACCACCAAGAAATTAAATAATGGGTGAACTTCTCTTGATTAAGACAACTAATAGTGTAGGATTCAAGAATATGCTGTTTGTATTGACTGTTAACTTGTGCAATAGTCAAATCACCAAGAAAAGTAACCCTTAAAAACTTCAATAAATTATTTTCCCAAATCATTTCATAAGTTGCTTTTATCTAAATATATAAAATTACTTGTCCTGACTGACTGACTGAGTGATTGACTGATTGATTCATCATCGCCCAGAGCAAACCGCTGAACCTAGAGGTAAAGTTTTGCACACAGTTTGGGTTCGTCATTAAAATGCACACTAAGAAGGGATGCGATTTTTTGTTTTCAACTATGTTTAGTTTTCATTGAGTACTTAGGTGTATTAAATTGATAACATTTCAGACATTGTTATAAATATTTTTATATATTTCAATTTTTTAACCAAATGTTCAAACCATTTTAAATTCAAATTTGTTATTGCATATTGGTTTGATTATAGAATGATTGTAAATGTTCCAGAAAATTGATTAAATTGAAAATAGTTCATTTGATTCTCAGCCATTCTCATCATTCTCAGCAGTAGGTGTTATATAGCAATTACTATGGTTATTGAAATACTGAATATAAATGGGTTTGCTTGCAAAATCCCCACGAGCAAAGTAGCAGGTAACAGCTAGTCTTCTATAGAACAAAAATTATTAATATTTTAAATTTAAAAAAAATTTTATAATGACACTGCATTTCATGTTATTCAATTAAATTAATATTTAATTTATCAATAATTGAATATTAATTATTATTATTAAATTAATATTAAATTAAACATTATACCCCAAATTTGCAGTTGTTGAATATTCATATTCTGCTAAGATTCCAGTATCAAATTCATGCATTATTTCAAATTGTGATTCTTTTTTTACAGTAGTAATTGCACGTGCCTATTAAGATTAAAATGATTTTTATATAATCTAGTAAAGTAAATATCATTAATATAAATATTTTAAAATTTGTATCACTAATCTTTTATTTGGAATTGTAATAGTGATTTGAACTTACCTGTAAAAGATATACTGTATTTCCAATAATACCCCATTCAATATCCAATAATTCATTGAAAGCTGCTTCAAGCTAATATTTAAAATTTTAGATAAATATATATATACATATACAAAGCAATATTTTTATGTATATTTGTATATATTTTATAGTAATTTATTATTCTATTAGCATAAACTCCAGTTTCTTCAAATTACAGTGATTAAAAATATAAATAAATAAGGGGGTTATGGGATTTTATATAAAGATTTTAAAAAGTATATAAAAAGAAGAATATAAAAAACACAAATGTAACTTATACAACGATACCTCATACTTCAAACGTTACACTCAGTAAAAGTTTGCTTCAGAATTTGAATGATGCTTCAAAGTTTGAACTGTGCACACAGTAAAAAATATGCTCAAAGCATAGATGAAATCTGTTGTGAGCCTAAGTAGTCTCTCATTCTTGTATTACACTTTTATGTTTTAAATGCTTTTTTTTTACTTTATTTTTGGTGTTTAGTTATATATATTGTGTGTTATTTGTCAATTTTAGCAATTTCTTTCTGCAACTTTTCTTTGCTGACAGCTTTTGGCACCCCCTAGGTTTTGTATTCTTTAGTTCAAATTTCCTGAAAAGAACTTTTTAAATCCATTTGACATGTTCAAAGTTTAGGAACATCTTTCCCATACATATTACGTATTTTTCATTGTTTGTATGGTGTTATATCCTTCTAAAATATCATAAAGCATAATATAGTTGATATGCTTTTATATGAAAGCATTTTAACTTGATTTTATTCAAGCAAAATGTGAAGTAAAAAGTTTAAAATAAGCTTTTAAATAAAGAATATTTAGCAATAATGCATTGAATTTTACAACTGTTATAATTAAATAACATATCTATGTTCACAGCTGTTAAAAATACCCAAAAACTTTCTGTTCGATCCAACACAATCTTTACTTAAAGTATTAACCATGGTATTTGAGATGTGTGTGAAAACAACAAAGTCTAAGAGGAAAGTTCTAGTATTGATGATCAAAGTGGAAAAGAAACTTATTGCAAAGTATAAAAGTAGTATACATGTAGAGGATCTGGTGATCATGTTAAGATGCTAAAGTTTACAGTATATGACAAATATATACAATTTCTATTTTATTATACAGTATTTATGTATTTTATCTATTGTTTTCATGTTTTAATTTATTATTAGAGAATTTAATTGTGTTATTTTTGTTAGAATCCAATACGAGGAGACGACTCTTTTGGTAATATTAACAACTTACTTTATTGGTAACACTCACATACAAAGCAAAAGAAAGAAGAAAGAGAGCTTTGGAAAGCCCGCCAATCATATATATATAGTGCTTGTGCGCCCTCTGGTGGCTGAAGTCGTACAATATTTAACAATTTTTACCTTAAATTATGTGTATTTTCTGTTTTAAGTTTATCAAAATGGGTATTGTTTATGGTCTTGAGAATGGATTAATTCAATTTCCATTAATTTTATTGGGAAAAATTGATTTGGATTTTAAATGATTCAGTGTTTAAATGGTTCCTGGAATGAATTAAATCTGAAGCACAAAGCACCATTGCATTTATTTTGTGTCTATTCACTCTCTCCTTAGTATATTGCAGTGTTCCATGAAACACTGGTGATGTGTAGAAAGTAAGTATTCCATGAAAAATTATCAAAATTAATATAAGGCCTGGAATGATTTTAAGTGCTGCAGCAAGTTGAAACCAGTGTGAAATTAGGTCTCCTCACTCTATATGTGATTGGTGCTATTAATGCCAACATGCAGTAGCCTTGACTCAGCAACTGGCTGATAGTTGTCCATAGTTATTGACACTGCCAAGTATGACTGAAGTATGGAGATATCCATTCTAGGAAATGTATTCACAAGCAATGTTAATTAAAAATTGCAGAAACACATGGTCACAAAGAATGGCAAGTATTTATGCTGACACACCTATCATAGAAGAGGAAATAGAGTTACTGTACAAACTATGGATTTCTTCAAAATCTAATAAAGAACAAGCGTCATTTAAGATCCAAATGGATCTTAAATAACAATAAAGATTATTTCAATTTTGGATTTATGTGTTTAGGCAATACATGTGCTCCTGATGCAATGTATGTTTTATGTAATAAAATACTAGCAAACAGTTCTTTGGCTTCAGCTAAACTTTGTAGGCACTTCAAAATGAAACATGCTGATTACAAAAGAAAACATATACACGTGTTAAGAGACGAAATGACTCGCTAAAATGCTCTAGATTTCAAATGCTTAAAATTGCTAAAACTGAAAGTGAAAATGCAACAGAGTGATCTTTTTGCATGAATTATTACATTGTATTTAATAGTGAAGCTCATATAATTGAAGAGTTGCTCATTAAGCATTGTGTGAAAGGCATTGTATCATTGTATATTGAACAAGAAGGCTGATAAAAAATACATGCAGTACAATTATCAAATAATACTATTTCATACCACATCAAACATCTTTCTTCTGACATAGAGAAAAAGATAATTCATTGAAAGACTTTGCAGTGAATGTGCATTGAAAATGGATGAATCTACAGATGTGACAGATGTGTATACAGATGGACTTTCTGTATTACTAGTGTTTGTTTGTTACATATTTAATAAAAGTATTTAAGAAAATTTACTCATGTGTGAATATCTACAAGATAATCTTCTGGAAAAAATATATTCAATTGTATCATTAGTAATTACATTACAAAACAGGAAATCAGTTGGGAGAAGTTATTGATATTTGTACAGATGGTGTTGAAGCAATGATAGGAGAGATGAAGGGAGTTATAACACATATCTTGCAAATAGCTATAAGACCATTAAAAGTCATTGTATTTTGCATAGACAAGTAACAGAAGTAGCAACAAAAAAATTCCTACATATTTAAAACTATTTCAGATGAAACTATAAAATTGATCAACTGTGTAAAATCTTGACCACATCAATCCAGATGATTTAAAATTTTGTGCGATAAAATGGATAATGTACATAATAAACTTTTATTACATATTTAAATGAGATGACTATCCAGAGGAAAAGCATTATTAACATTTTTTGAACTTCATAGTGAGTATTGGTCTATATAAATACACACAAATATTTATAAACAAAAATATTACTACAGTATATAGAAAATCATATTATACCAGTCTAACAGAAGTTGTATTAATTTCATGATGGAATATTTTAGTAATTCAAAAATAACATTATGATGATCTTGAGAGGAATTCTTGCAGATTTGAAGAAGAGCAGTGTTGAATTCATTTATGGTAAAAACTATCAGGCCTGGGAGTGCCATTTCCCCTTTAAAAAAGTGAGAAAAGTGAGTTGAAATACAGAATAAGTGAGTAAAAAGTGAGTGCAATACAAGTAGCCCTCGGTTTATGCTGACTCAATTTATGCCGATTCAAAATAACGCCGCTGCGCAATTCACCATTTCGCGGTGTAATTCCCCAATTTTCCCTATGCTAGACTGATTTTCATTTCAGTGTCGACATATTTACCGAGCCGCAACATTGTATATTAGTTACAAAAGATTTTCTGTTTAATATTATTGGGTATGCATACATTTGCATTAAATTAATATTAAAATACTAAACATTTAGGTACCCACGAGTCAAGTTATTAAACTTAATAGTCCAACAAATGGTGTCTGAATCAATAGTGCCAATGAATGTATCCCGTATCAGATCGTTCAGGAAAACACTTTACGACGCAGTAGCACTTCCAGCGATCACAAATCATCATTAGTGAGACAAATCTACTTTTCATTGGCCAGACGATATCTATCTCTTCTTAGCCACCTTCAATTTTCCTGCTCAAACTGACCTTATATATGGGCTATGGCAACCAGTGGTCGACCAATCAGTGTCTCCGCTTGTCTGTAGCTCTATGTCGGGTTAATGTATCCTTTCAACAATGGAAAGTTTGATGGATGAACTTTGTGAGTTAGACAATGATTGGGAGAGAAGTGCAAATGTAAAAAGGAGCATCATATTCGACCATATTCCGAAATTCTCAATGAAAGAAAACAAAAATGTAAACAATTAAAGATGGTCTTTAAGCCTCTGTTTTAAAAGTCTCATAGTGGCACCAACGTAAACGAGATCTGAATTAAAACAGTGGTCACTTAAAGGAATAGAATACACTCCTGTACTATTGTTACGGTTTCCTTTCTTCTTATCATTTTGTAGAATTCTATAAATCGTAGGATTACAATGATAAATTATTCTTAAATTATTCTTGTGAGCTAATTTTTTAATCATCGAGTGTAGGAAAGGTTATTAAAGATGAATACTTCTTTCCAAAAAATGTACGAGATCCGAAACTAAAATTTTTTAATAAAAACATTTCACTTTATTTTATGATAAAATACGTTTTAAAAATTAAACTTATATGTATTTTGCATTATATTGTATTAATAAACAAAATTATTTGCTTATTTTTCACTTATGTAGATCCTAACACTATACCTCACTGTAAATATGGGTTCATTTTACGCTGATTTCATTTGTGCCGGATTTTGTAGGAATGGAACTGCGGTGTAAACTGAGAGCTACCTGTAGTGACAAAACAAAGTGAAAACATGGAAAGAAAACTCAGCAAAATAGCAGTAAAAGTTTTTTATTTTTATTGTTATGGTTAAATACATTTTAAAACTTTTTGTATATACTGTAATATTTCCAGTAAACCATGAATACTTAATAAGTCTTTGGCTTCTTCTGTAAATAATCAGTCAAGAAAGATGATGTTCTTTTATTAAGATTTTTCTGAATGTTTTCAACTTCCTTCTTTTTTGCTTCCTCTTGCTTTTGAACACTTTTAACACTAGCAAGCATGACATGTGCTGCCCGTATTTCATTCATATTCTTGCTATTAATGGCCTTCTCCAGTTTTTTGTTTGCTGCTTCTAACAAAACCTGGCCTGTCTCGTGTATTTCACTTCTACTTTTTTCTGTTTTAAACTCTGCTGCAGTGCCATAATCTTTTCCTTGACATGAATAGCTCTCTTTTGATGTTCTTCAAAATTTTTCTGTGCTTCCTCTTCTGCTCTTTTTTTCTGTTTCTGTAAACTACTTTTCTTGCGAATTCCCAGTATATCTTCCTTAAAAAGTCGTAACACTTTTTGATTAACATTAGGACCATCTGATCCTATCATCAAAAGTTTGTGTAGTGACAGGTTGGCATCATCGATAGCTTTGATAATGTATGTATGCAATGTTTCTGCATCTGCCCGTCCAAGAAAGCATGTATTTAGGTGTCTGCAGACAACTTGTTCTTTTTGCTCAGACCAAAATCTAATCATTATCTGTAACTCTTTCTTACTTTCCACATTGATGGTTTCATAATAAGTAACTGTAAAAAATGAAGAGTGGATTTCTTCTAGCATTTTTTTTTGGAAGTAGGGAGCCAATGCTTCAGTTATTAAATAGCGCAATTTCTTCTCACTCATTGATATTCCTTCAGGAAGTTTAGTTTTTGGAAGCATTGCTTGTAGTGTTGGAACCATATTATTAGAAGCAGCAAATGAGAAATTACTACATATTGTTTTCATGGCCCATATCAGTTCTGCATGGTATGCAGCATCTCTTGGATTATATAAACTCACAGTTGCCAATCCTTCTCCAGTCCCATTATCAGTATTACTTGGAATTTCATCATTTTTTGATGGGCCTGCAAAACTATCACCTGGTGCAACCAATGTCAGGTGTAACTGTCTTGGACCATAAGCACAGGTAAATTTTTGTCTGTGTTTGACAGTACCTCCATGATCAAAAAGTGCTTGGAAACCTTTTTTTACTTGTATTATGCAATTACATACTTTGCAAAATACATCAGTGTCTGAACGTACAGTTGCCCATAATCCTACTGTACAATCTGCCTTGTCCTTTTGTTTCAACCAATCAGTTCGGAATTTGCACTTTGGTAGCGTCATATTGAGTGGATTCAAACCATTACATCTATATTCTAACTTGGAACCTGCTATAAACCAACAGTTTGTCGGTATCATTCCGCTAGAGATTTTTATTGGTCGATCACAATCGAAAGAGAGTAAACACGTGTTGACCACGTGATCGGTCACTTCTCTGCACGTGTTAAAATAGAACAGAAGAATAAAAAAATTACCAATAAAATAAAGCAATACTTAGAAAATTATTTTTTGCATGTTTTACCAATTTTATTTGATCATTTAAATATATATAATTTGTCAAAAATTAACATTAAATGTAAATTATTTAGATCTACACAAACTATATTTACAATTGAATAGTTTAACGTATTTCAAAATTTTATTTGTATATAAATTTTCCATTTTTGTAATGTGATTATTATATTAATTTGAAATAAAATTAACAACTCTTATTACGAACAAAATCAAACGATAATAAGCAGAAAACGAAACTTTTATGAGCACGATCGGAAACTGTTTATTTTTTAAAATGCTTCGAGATTGATTTAAAAATAAATTAATAAATCCGAAATAAACAGATTTCAAATAGAATAAGTAAAATAATATTTTATTAATGATTTCATAAATAACGAGGAACTTTTTCCTGCAGATGTTCCCTCACCGCCGAAACCGAAACTAACCCTTTACAAATAAGTGCTATAAATAGACTCTCAACTCTGCCTGCATGAAATATAGACCTAACCAAATTAATCAAGATCGACAAGTACTTTATCCGCACCTTCCCAAATAATATGTTTCAATTGATTTGACTTCAATTTTAATTTACATTAATTAATTTTGATTTTATTTTTAATTTTACCTACGGTTTCGGTTTTTGTTTCGATATAAAGAACAGTTTTAAAATTTTAATTTAATTTTAAATTTAAGTTAAATATTTTTAAATTTAATTATTATTTTTTGTTTTAATTAAGGCTGTGTACACACTAGGCGTTTTTAAACGCGCGTTAGCTCGGCTTTCGACGAGCGTTAATAGAGCGTACGCACTGGCTCAGCTTGGAAATGGACGTGAAAGTAATTGCTTGTGTGCCCCTCCTCCATCGTCGCTATAAAAGACGATGGCAGAGGCAAAGAGAATTTTGGGTGCACCCAATATTACGAGATAGACTGACACATGGAATGTTCGCGACGTTGTATCCAAAACTAAGACAAAATGAACCCAAGTTTTTTAATTCTTTTAAAATATCTATAAAATCATTTGACAATGGTTGGTCTCTTTTAGATTTCATCAATAAATAGATCAGTATCGAAATGATCGTTCTCCATTTCGGTCAACGTACGTCCACTTTACCCGAAAACGCGCGATCGAATGTACAGTAACATGGCAGCACATATATCTCAAAGCGCTCGGCTGACGCCCGCAAAACGCGCGTTTTAACAAAAATCTATCAACGCGCGTTTGAGTGTGTACGCCTATGTAAAACTCTTGGTTCTTTAAAATGCGCGTTTAAAAACGCCTAGTGTGTACACAGCCTTACTGACTACCTAGTTACGTATAAATACAGACGATAACTTAACAACACTGAGCGGCAGTTGCAATTTTGAGTCCCGCTTGGGCGGAGTATTTTTTTCCATAAAAATCTAGTCCGATAGTTCGGTAATTCGGCAGATCGCCTGGCTTTAAAACTATTTTTGATTGGTCCCACATCTTCCTAATTTTTAAGCACGTGGAAATGACCAAAAAAGTGAGAAAAGTGAGAAAATGACCTGAAAAGTGAGAAAAGTGAGGATACTTCAAAAAAGTGAGTACAAGTGAGAAAAGTGAGCGACTCCGAGGCCTGAACTATAGTCTCTTTATTAAATTTTATCTTCTGTATTAGCTTATGTTTTAAAAATTTTAACTTTGCCAAATTGAAAAGATATAAGTAATATAACAATTTTAATTTGTTTAAATATTCTAAATTAATTTCAAAAATAATCCATCTAACAATGCATGTCTTGAAGCTATTACATTATTATTTTACAATATCATAATCACAATTACTTTATAGCTATAATTTGATTAGGGAAACTAAAATGCATTTATGACTAAATGTCATATGCATTTCAGTATTTATAACTGATAACATTCAATAGTAATAAAATTGATAACAGCAAGACATATTGTTAGATTGATATCATTCCTGAACTTAATTAATTAAGGATGCACAATGTGATTTCAATTTCTAAATTCACAAATAAATTTCTTTTTATTCTCACCTGAATAGAGATTTTTCCTAACAATATAGCCTGACTTTCATTTAAACAATATACCATTGACTTTTCCTTCTTTATTGTTCTTTCAGTTTTACCTTTATCTACAAAAATAAACTATTGTAAACTAGATCATAAAATAAAAATAAAATAATTTATTTATATATTATATATATGTATATGTATATTATTAAATAGTTCTTATCTTATGTTTAGAAAAATTATATTTACCTGTTACAACTATTTCAACTTTTTTTTCACCTAGAGATTTAGAATGAAAACTAATGTTTCCATCAATACTTCTCTTGAGAATTATTGTATCTGGTTCAGTTAAAGCAGAAACTACTGACTGTATAACAAATAAATATGGTTAATCTATAAATTAAATATTTTTTAAACAAAACTGCATGCATCTATATATAAAATATTAAATAAAAATCATATATAAAAAATTAACATTTCACAAATATATTGTAAAACATGATGGAAAGAATGCATGTGTATGTGTATATATATTGTATAATACATATCAATATTATATACATTATATAACATACATAATATATATTAATACAGTAGACCTTCATTATATCACGCTTGTCAGGAAACAAAGAAAAAGCATGATATATATGGTGATATGCTATAACAGAGTACTAAAAATTCTGGGCTTTTACTAAACAGATTATACATGCTGTAAAATCTTTATTCTCAATTGTTTAATCTGGTGAATGATGGATATATCTGCAAAATAATTTTGCAGATATCGCCAAAAATTAGCCAAAAACTACCACAAAAAAAAATTCACATAAAAAAGGAATTATGTAACAATAAAAAAAGACTTTTCTTTACTAGACAAAACTGTTTACAAAATCTTTTTCCAAAACAATAATGAGAAAAACACATGGAAAAATACTTTAAAAATTTCCCATGTTTATTCTCCACTACATAGGGATAGCACCATACCTGACTAACCCACTGCTGAAAGATTAATTAATGTTTACATAAACATCGATACCATGAACACCAATTTAGCATTATTTTTTATTTAACAATGACATTTAAAGACAAATACTGCTGACATAAAAGCAAAATATCAGTTGCAATTTATTACACAGTTCTATATTTCACAATAAATTGCTTATTAAAAATCAATGTAATGTATATTTTTCAATAAAAACTGTAAATACAGTAAATTGAAAATTTAAAAAATAAATATTGAACATATAATAGGACATCAAAATTTATAAAATTACAGAGTAAAAATTCTCAAAAATGCAAAATAAAGTTACTACTGTATAAAAATTTTAGAATTTCCATTCAGAAATAGAGAAATCTTTTCCTTACACATTTGCATTGAGTTTGAAATTTCACAGAAACTTGTAAATGAGGAGACAGTACTTAAAACCAATAAATAGGCATCTTTTAATATCAAAACGTAACATAAATGATAATTAATCTGTTCACCTGTTTTAGTTATTTACATCTTGACAAATTTATTGTTTCACCTGCAGTAGTAGTTTCAAGGTCAATAGTAGGAATAAAATACTGTATTTCATTGCAAAAAGAAGTTCAATAGCAATTAATAATTTAAAATTTATTGTCTCAAGTGCTTTTAAAATTTGGCGGACCAAAAACAGTATGATATAATGAGGCACAATGTTATGGGGGACTATTGTATATATATTAATTATATATTATGTCATTAATCAGACAAAATAAAAAGTAAATATTAAATATTCTCACTTCACCCAATCCATAATTTGCTGTAATTGTAATATTAGCAGGATTGCAAGTTACTGGATCACAGGTAAAAAGTACACCAGAAACTTCAGGATATATAATTTCTTGTATTACAACTGCCATGCCACTGTCAATGGGCTGTCCATTTTTCCTGTAAAACATTTAAATATTTTATTGGTTATGTAAACTTTTATATTTATTTATATTGTGTTTCATATTCAGAATGTTATCCAACATAGCAGTGGAACATATTACTGTAGCATTGTTATCTAAAATAATGCTACAGTAATTCTTGATTTTTTTCTATAGCATGCATTCAAATATAAACATTTTAAACCTGATAGTTATATATTAAAGCCAAACAATAATATGGCAATTGTTTAGCTTTAATAGTGTGCACTCCTTGAATTTTAAAAATGCACTACTTATAAAAAATTCTTTACTTTTTATATTTAAGTGAATATGTTCATTCCATTTTCTTGTCTACCTAACTTTAGGTACAGCTTAAGTCATTAAGAAAGAAAATTTATTTATTTGTTTATTTATTTATCGTTTTTACAAATGGAAATGTTATGTATATGACAAAAGATTTCCAGTCCCTGATTAACAGTATAACCCAGATACATTAAATATAATATATAAAAATACAACTGTAAATAGAAAATAAAAAACACACAAAAAATATTCTGTCCTATTCATATTAAAATTATTTTGCTACTCAAGTAAAGTATCTAATATTTGTTGACAAAGTTATTATTTGATTATTAGATTAATCATAATTAAAATACTTTTAAAATTTCTCAAAATAAAATCATGTATTATTAAGAATTCAAAATTTAAAGAAACTAAGTCATCTTCTTTCCAGTAAGTCCAGTCATCAGGAAACAATAGCCATCTTTCTTTACAGAGACAATCTTTTATTATAGGCTATACCTGTTATTGTTTTCTGACGATTGGACATGGCGGGAAAAAATAACTTAGTTTCTTCAAATTTTAACTTTTAAAAAAATACTGTCAGCCATTTTGATTAAAATCATGTATTATTATTAAGTGTATAAACAAAACTTTCAGTTTGATAAACTTTGTAAAAAAAATTATTATTATTACTATTATATCAACTAGTTTAAGAATTATTAATACCTTTTATATTGAACTGCTGAATAAGAAAACTGAGAACTCCAACATTTTATTACAGCATCACAGATCTAAACAACAAAAATTATTTGTTAAATTTAGAAACTTAAAAAGTTTCAGATACTTTCATATTATTTAATTATCTAAGTTATTGTATATTATTCTGTACATCCATTATTTATTTATTTTTCTCATATCCCACCATTTTGTTCTTTATTTGTTCTTTACTGACTATATATTGTATAATACATATCAATATTATATACATTATATAACATACATAATATATATTAATACAGTAGACCTTCATTATATCACGCTTGTCAGGAAACAAAGAAAAAGCATGATATATATGGTGATATGCTATAACAGAGTACTAAAAATTCTGGGCTTTTACTAAACAGATTATACATGCTGTAAAATCTTTATTCTCAATTGTTTAATCTGGTGAATGATGGATATATCTGCAAAATAATTTTGCAGATATCGCCAAAAATTAGCCAAAAACTACCACAAAAAAAAATTCACATAAAAAAGGAATTATGTAACAATAAAAAAAGACTTTTCTTTACTAGACAAAACTGTTTACAAAATCTTTTTCCAAAACAATAATGAGAAAAACACATGGAAAAATACTTTAAAAATTTCCCATGTTTATTCTCCACTACATAGGGATAGCACCATACCTGACTAACCCACTGCTGAAAGATTAATTAATGTTTACATAAACATCGATACCATGAACACCAATTTAGCATTATTTTTTATTTAACAATGACATTTAAAGACAAATACTGCTGACATAAAAGCAAAATATCAGTTGCAATTTATTACACAGTTCTATATTTCACAATAAATTGCTTATTAAAAATCAATGTAATGTATATTTTTCAATAAAAACTGTAAATACAGTAAATTGAAAATTTAAAAAATAAATATTGAACATATAATAGGACATCAAAATTTATAAAATTACAGAGTAAAAATTCTCAAAAATGCAAAATAAAGTTACTACTGTATAAAAATTTTAGAATTTCCATTCAGAAATAGAGAAATCTTTTCCTTACACATTTGCATTGAGTTTGAAATTTCACAGAAACTTGTAAATGAGGAGACAGTACTTAAAACCAATAAATAGGCATCTTTTAATATCAAAACGTAACATAAATGATAATTAATCTGTTCACCTGTTTTAGTTATTTACATCTTGACAAATTTATTGTTTCACCTGCAGTAGTAGTTTCAAGGTCAATAGTAGGAATAAAATACTGTATTTCATTGCAAAAAGAAGTTCAATAGCAATTAATAATTTAAAATTTATTGTCTCAAGTGCTTTTAAAATTTGGCGGACCAAAAACAGTATGATATAATGAGGCACAATGTTATGGGGGACTATTGTATATATATTAATTATATATTATGTCATTAATCAGACAAAATAAAAAGTAAATATTAAATATTCTCACTTCACCCAATCCATAATTTGCTGTAATTGTAATATTAGCAGGATTGCAAGTTACTGGATCACAGGTAAAAAGTACACCAGAAACTTCAGGATATATAATTTCTTGTATTACAACTGCCATGCCACTGTCAATGGGCTGTCCATTTTTCCTGTAAAACATTTAAATATTTTATTGGTTATGTAAACTTTTATATTTATTTATATTGTGTTTCATATTCAGAATGTTATCCAACATAGCAGTGGAACATATTACTGTAGCATTGTTATCTAAAATAATGCTACAGTAATTCTTGATTTTTTTCTATAGCATGCATTCAAATATAAACATTTTAAACCTGATAGTTATATATTAAAGCCAAACAATAATATGGCAATTGTTTAGCTTTAATAGTGTGCACTCCTTGAATTTTAAAAATGCACTACTTATAAAAAATTCTTTACTTTTTATATTTAAGTGAATATGTTCATTCCATTTTCTTGTCTACCTAACTTTAGGTACAGCTTAAGTCATTAAGAAAGAAAATTTATTTATTTGTTTATTTATTTATCGTTTTTACAAATGGAAATGTTATGTATATGACAAAAGATTTCCAGTCCCTGATTAACAGTATAACCCAGATACATTAAATATAATATATAAAAATACAACTGTAAATAGAAAATAAAAAACACACAAAAAAAATTCTGTCCTATTCATATTAAAATTATTTTGCTACTCAAGTAAAGTATCTAATATTTGTTGACAAAGTTATTATTTGATTATTAGATTAATCATAATTAAAATACTTTTAAAATTTCTCAAAATAAAATCATGTATTATTAAGAATTCAAAATTTAAAGAAACTAAGTCATCTTCTTTCCAGTAAGTCCAGTCATCAGGAAACAATAGCCATCTTTCTTTACAGAGACAATCTTTTATTATAGGCTATACCTGTTATTGTTTTCTGACGATTGGACATGGCGGGAAAAAATAACTTAGTTTCTTCAAATTTTAACTTTTAAAAAAATACTGTCAGCCATTTTGATTAAAATCATGTATTATTATTAAGTGTATAAACAAAACTTTCAGTTTGATAAACTTTGTAAAAAAAATTATTATTATTACTATTATATCAACTAGTTTAAGAATTATTAATACCTTTTATATTGAACTGCTGAATAAGAAAACTGAGAACTCCAACATTTTATTACAGCATCACAGATCTAAACAACAAAAATTATTTGTTAAATTTAGAAACTTAAAAAGTTTCAGATACTTTCATATTATTTAATTATCTAAGTTATTGTATATTATTCTGTACATCCATTATTTATTTATTTTTCTCATATCCCACCATTTTGTTCTTTATTTGTTCTTTACTGACAATTATTTAGTGCATTTATTATTGTATTTTGTTAAAATGTTATTCATATAAATCTAGTAAATAATTTCAAGTTTGCTTAATGATTTTTCTTTACAGAAAAATTTAATACTGTAAAATTCAAATATCATAAACTGAAATAATTATTTCCTACTCAAATGCTGTCAACAGACTGTGATTTTTATATGTGAAATCCAAACTTAATTAGCTAAATAGTAAGCAGGCAATTCTTAACGTAATTATTAATATTTGGCAATAATTAGAATGTAAAAATTAAGATATTTTTACAACAATATTTATAATATATCACATAAAAATAATGTAAAAATACACTGAGTGTGGCATTAACAATTTTTTATTTTTCAAATTTAAAAACAGAATTCAAATTTGTGTTCTATTTTAAAATTAATTCACCTGAAGATGATGAACATAAATTCATTGAAAGCACTAGCGAAAATAAAATACTGTTAATGCTGCACTCAGTGTGTTTTACTTTTTCTTTATGTGATATTTGGCATGAGGTTCAAGCTATATTGTATTATAATATATGAATTTAAAATTATAAATGAATACATTAATTTCTATATAGAAATATTTTGTTCCTAATTTCAGATTTTCCTGGTAACATATGTATGTTCAAAAAATGGAATATCTGTTATGAACTTATTATAAATCTAATTACAATATTTAAATTATAACGTTTAAGTTGACAAATGTGCATTTTAAAAATATATATTATTTTCATTTAACTATAAATTTAACAACAAAACTTTTAACTAAAAACATAATAACACTTTTTAAACAGATGTAACAACAAGTTATGTATTACATTATAAACTATAAAGGTACAATATAAAAAGATTAAATTAATTAAATATAAATAATTTAAATATTTTAATAATAAAATAAAAATTAATGTTTTATACCTCATTTATATCACATAGTCCTAGAAAAGTAATCATTTGTCCAGCTGCAGAAAATTCTGCATTGTCTTCGCCTGAAAAATTTATACTATAGATTCAGCTACTCCATTATTATTTATTTTTCACATACAATACAAATTGAAAAAATTAAAATTAAATTATTTCAATCTAGAAATTTTTAAGACTATACAATTATGATCAGAAAATTTATAAAAACATTAATATCTACAATTTTTAATAAATAAAGTATTATTGATATCTGAATAAAAACTATTGGATAAGCTATTATATTTATATTCATGCTGATCATTTTCTAATCTAACAATTTTAGATGAGTAAAGAAAATAACAAGCAACTTTATAAAGAAACCAAAAATATTTCAGCCTTTAGATTTCTAAGTTCAGAAGAATCAGTAGTTGATTGTCGTGTGCTTGGGCATAACCAAGTATTGGATATTACTGTTACTCAAGGAATAGAGTAAACATTTAAAAGATTACATGTGTATGTGAATTTTTGAGAGAGAATTCGTTTTTTGTCTTTTGAAAATTTTTCTCATTTTTATTACCAGACAATGATCACATCTCTCTCCGGAGTCATTTCCTTTCCCAGGGAACTCATCAGATGTGTCATACTATAAAAAATTCTTGATTGGTAGGAAAAAATAACTTGATTTGGAGGTATAAAAAGGAGTGACTCAAGGACAAGGGGTGCCCTGAAAAAAAGGAAGAGGTGTATCATCATCATCATCCAGGCTACCTGGAATTTCCTATCCTGTGTTTCTTTAATTAAGAACACTGTCTAACTGGCTGGATTAGATCCTCCAGTTCTCCATTGCTTCTTCGACTGCCATCCAAGGAAAAGCAACCCTCATCCATGCTTGGATTCCGTCCCAACCGAACGAACGACCGAAGTCAGTGATCCAAAAATCTGCACAATTATCAGTGCATCAGAGGTATCTATATCAACTCGCAGTTTCCTGTAAACTCTCTCTCTCGACCGCTATCCAATAATATAGAGCTATGTATTTTTTTTTTGTTTTTGTTGAATTAAATTGGTTATTTTAGTTGTTAATCTCGTATCCAAGTGAATCACTTCCGATCCATCTCTCAACCCTCCTCTATCCCGAATCCGATCGTCCGCGCATGTGACCACTTGCACAAATTCTTAAGTTGCAGTTTCTGTGTCTATCCTAAAGACACAGTGGTGTCAGTCCTGATGAGGCACTAAAGAAGTGCCAACCCTCTGGTCACAGTGGTGTCAGAAGTGGGATATGAATTTTGTAACAACTCCATCCATGAGGATGGAGAACTGGAGGATCTAATCTGGGCAATTCAACAGTGTTCTTAAAGAAACACAGGATAGGAAATTCCGGGTAGCTTGAACGATGACGATACATCTCTTTCTTTTTCTCAGGGCACATGCAACTGAATAGATAACAACAAAAAATCATAAAACAACAAAATGATTTTAAAAAATCCAGCAATGAGTTGCATAACTTTCCTCTCTATTATGAGATTTTATTTAGAAAATAACTTATATTTTTAATTACAACATAATAAAATTGTTTGTGGGTTATCTGTTATGAAATTTTGTTTTAAAAATTTTCTATAGTTTCAATTATTATTAAATGGCAAAATGCTTAAATTTAAACATAGTAATCAGTTTCAAAAAAAATATTTTAAATACTAATAAAGTATAACATCATTAAATCTGACCCCACTCAAGATATGACACGTGACCCCCATCCATCTCTTAACCCCTTGACCTTTTACCACCAAAATTTAATAGCATCAATGCCCCTTATATATAAAAGCTGCCATGCCAAATTTTGTTTCTTTATCTTCACCCCAACCTGAGTTATCAAGCAAAATAAATGCCAACACACACACACACACACACACGCGCAGAATTTTTTGCCATTTTTTTTTTTTTTTACTTTCTTGGGTTCAGGAGGTCTAAAAAAACTCAGTCAAATTTGACACAATTCCAATACTTTCCCTTGTTATGTATACATAACAGCTGGGAAAGTAAAAGTGATTAAGCTATAAAAACTGTTTATTTTTATGTTAAATTAGTGTTTAAATAGTTAAAATTATTAAACAATAACCAAACATCTTTATTGTTGCCGAAAAAGTTTAATTAAAACAAACGTTTTTGGCCTATTCCATAGGCTATTGTCAGGTTGAAAATATTAAAATTGTTAATTAGAAAGATATCATTTTAGAATCACAAAACTATTTAAATTTAAAATAACATTTTTTTTTATTATATAAAAATTAATTTTTCCTGTATTTTAATCCATAACTGCACAACTATATAATTTCAAAAAGAAAGGAAGAAGTTTTTAAATTTACTATGCATTAATAAACTTGTTTAAAAAGTATAAATTTATTAAACATGCCCATTAATAAATTTCCCAAATTTATGAAAATATTAATGATGAAAAAAATTTAATTGTAAATTAATTTTATTACACAATTAAAGACTATTTATATGAAAGATTAAAGACTATTTATATGAAATTTGAAAAAAAATAAATAATACTATTTAAATTACAATTATTTATTTTTTTTCACTTTTTTATTTTCAGACTAGTTTATTAATAACTGTCCTCAAATTGAGAGCATAAAGGATAATTCTGAAAGAGTCAAAATATTTTAGAAAAAATTTTATCAATAATAAGGTTATTAGAAATTTTCTCAAATTCATAATTTTGACTAACACATTGTTTTTAAAACCTCAACGTTTTAAAATTTAAATATGGCAATTAATATTACATTATATCAGGGTCACAGTCTGATTCTCTTCAGAGTCCTATCCCTGGCATTTTGCAATGCTCTCCTCTATGCTGCATTCAGTAATAATTCTTCACTTAAACAATTCATATTAGTTTTAAAATGTTTGCTTAAAATATATTTTTAAAATAAAAATGTAAAAGTTAGCAAAAAAGTAATTTTAAAATAATTTTCAACTGTTAAAGGAAGTAAATGTCTATATTAATTTTTGGAACATTAAAATAAAAAGTACAGAGGGTAGTCTATCTAATCTAATTTTAGGCGACTTTAAAATAATACAATCTTATGCAATTCAAAAGAACAATACAAAAAGTTTTATTACATGTATAAAAATTAAAATTCATGCATGCATAATAAGACGTTTTATGTGCAGGGTTCTTATTCAAATTTTTGTTCTAATTTCCATGACTTTCCGAATTGTTGTCTGAAGACAAGGGAAGACCAATTGTATTCATTATTTACGTCGCTTCTTCTTGTGTTTATTCTGTGGGGTGTTCGTTATCCGATCATAAAAATCCTTCGCGAAAGTGTTTGTTATCCAATTTGTTCGTTATCCGATATGTTCGTTAACCGATCACCCATTGTATAACTTAAAAACACAACTAAAAAAAAGCTAAACATGATATAAATTTCATTTACAAATATTTTTAAACTGAGAGAAAGTAACATGTAAAAAATAATCAAAATTAAACATACTTTGCAAAATATGATAAAAGTAAGAAAACTATGAAATCACTAATCCATAAAATGATGTAAATATATGACGATTATCATAAATTTCTTTGGAGTATTCTTAAGCGAATCCAATTGTACTGTATAGAACAATTAAAATATTTTAAGTATAGAAATCAGTGAAAATATTTAATTCTTTCTTTAAAAGCAGGAAGGCCCAGTCTAGACTTGGCAACATTCGGAGATTGAGTGATGGGGAGGTTACAAAATCTATTTAATCTTTTAATTAAATAATTCTATATAATTAAAAGATAAATTAAAAGTTTTTTCTTCTAATACCATTTGAACATACTAACAATGCTTATTTCATGACAGAAATGATGATTCCAATAGAAATAATTTATATTAAAATATTGTATTTAAACTGATAATTGTATTTAATAATTAATAATTGTACTCAAACAAATAAATAAAATTATTTTTTCTTTTTTCATAAACCAACTTTATTAGAAACATTTTAAAATCTAATTTAAGAAATTTATTACTAAGAAAAAAAATTTGTGTGACTATTATAAAAATTAAAGCAATGTCATACCAACTGCTGATGAACGAACAGCATACATTTTTCTCTTAGTGTTTTCTTCTGTATTATTAAATAATTGTTCTTTAATTTCTTCTAAAATACAATTATCTAAGGATGTATGATTAAACTCTCCAATGATCCTAAAACCAAAAAAACTAAATATTACTTATATCAATAAAAATTGTAAAAAAATAAATATCCATCAAAAATGTACATATAAAAATGTTTATTCATTTATATTTGATGTATTTAGAATATTTAATTTGTTAAAATTACTAAAATTTAGAAAATAATTGACTGATAGTATTTGAAGCGTATTAGGACTATTCCCCCCCTCAGTAGTTTATAAATGTCATTCAATGTAATAAATATTACCATCAATATAATGTTTGAAATGTTAATCTATATTTAAAATTTTTTAATGTCTTAGTATAAGATTGAAAAGTTAATATCTTGAATTCTTATAGTTTGAAATTAAGAATATAAAATATTTTAATATTTACAACCTATTATCCATAAAAATTTCTACTAAAAAAACTAAAGTGTTAAATTAAGCTGAATTTTGAATAAGCTTTAGTTTGTAGTTTATTATTAAATTATTCCTAAAGAAAATAATGTTTTATTTTCTTTATGAAAATTTGAAAAATAAATTTATACTTACTTATAACAACAATCTTCAAGTTCATTATTTTCAATATTCTGATAACTATAACAAATTATAAAAATTACATACTGTATATGTACTNCTTTATTTGTAATTTAAATTTTTCCCTGTCTAGTTTTTTTCCAAATGTTCTACAGCCTCCATTGGCTATGATAGGAAATACCATTTTTGAATTCTTGGTACGCATCAAAATATGCAGGAAACCAGTTCGAAAATATAACATTGCATCCAGTTCATCTATTACCGTTAGTCTTCCTGGCACAGACCCTCAAGATGCAGAAAGAAGAAGGTATTATAACAATTTTAAATTTATAACTTACTGTTCTTTTATTTGAATTTTTAAAGATGATGGTTGTAATTCTGCCCAATGTACAATACTTGTGAATTTTAATATAATTAGATTTTAATAAATGTCAATAAACAGAATTTCTCTTTAATTAAATGCATACAAACACTAAGCCTAAAAAAATTATGCAAAATTAATAGTAATAGATAAAAAAGTTTTGAAAAAACTTTGTTAAAAGCAAAGAAATTGTTAATAAACATGAATATAATTGAAAAGTATTAGTGACATGCTGTAAAATGAAGTGCCTTAAAGCAAGAGTTCTGACTCCATAACTAGCCAAAAATAAGAGTTATTGAAACTATTAACTAGTTTAATAATGTGTATTATTACTAGCTAAAATTTAGATGGAAGTTACAATTAACATGTTAAATATCTTTCAGTACTTTTTTTCTATTTTTTTATGAAATTAACCATAATTTTTATGCATTATCATTGAAATTAAGTCTAGTGATATCCTAAATCATAAAATGATAAAAGATAACAATTTAAATTTTTATAAAGGTACACTTTATATTTCAAAGTTATTAATGTATTATAAATCTCTCCATTTTCAGTGATAAAAATTTCATTTTGCACTGATTTGTTCATTTACAATAAATCCAATTTTTATCATTTTTTTTATAAATAAAAAGTATAATTTATCAAAATTTTAAATAAATCATACATTTTATTCAATTATACGTAAATCATATTAAAAGTATTTAATTGATCAATCTTAAATTTGTAAATATAAAATTTTTCTTAATAAATTTCAATAAAATAATACCTCAAATTATTTTCTATTGTAAAAATACTTTGCAAAATATTTTTGTTACATTTAAGATGATGATAATAAGCTGCAGTTGTTAATATAATTCCATCTGGTACTATAAAATTGATACTGTTTGTCTATAAATATAAAATTATATCAAATTAAATATTTTCTTACCATTAATAATAAAATTATTTTTCTTAAAGACAAATATTATTTGTGAATTAAATTAAATTAAATGTGAAACTCAAGTGAGAAGATTTTAGTTATTATTTGTGAAAGACAGATTAATAAATTTTATTTAAATATGATATAAATTTAATTCTTAGTAATCCTCTCTCACTGTTTTTCAATATTATTAAAAAACAAAACTTTGCAGATATAAAATAATACAATATATTTAAATATGTAAATATTCTTTACAATATATCCAAGTGTAAGTTGTCATAAAATTACTATAATACAAATTGTACAGTAAAATAAATAATTAAAAACATTAATTGAATAACTTGCATTATTGTTTTCAAAATGAAGTAATTTAAGATTAACATAATTATTATTGATAAAGTATTACAATAAACTTAGATTTTACTGAAATTATATTGAAAAATGTTCAAAATACAAGGTGATCACAATTAAAGTTGTCCTATTAAGAGGACTTTGTAGCTCCAACCAAGAAACCAATTAAAACCAAAATTTGTGTACACACTATTCAAAAGATTCAGAAAAGAATTTTGCAAAGAAATTTTAGTTCCAAAATTGTCTGCTACAGGCTAAATGGCACTACAAGCAAAGAAATATATTAGATGCAATATACAGCAACATTTTCACCAACATTTCACTCATTTCACTGATGATTGTATGATTAGTCATTGATTTCTGACAACCTGGCCGTCACATTCTCTGGATCTGAATTCATGTAATTTCTAGCTGAGAGGCCATTTAAAGAATATAGTTTATTGTTATAATGTTGTAACATTGGCAGACTTAAAAAACAGTATTGTGTTGCATGTGCAAAACATGATGTGAGAACAGTTGTGATCAGCCACTGAACACATTATGCATTATATTCAAATTTTTATACCTAAATGATATGGAACACATTGAACATTCCCTGCATTGCTAAGCAATCTGTAAAGCACATACCTTTATGTCCCTATATGAATGATTAAATGATTTTTCATTGCGTTTCTGTTTTGTTTTATTTTGCAGTGCCATTTACCATGCAGGAAACAATTTTAGAACTAAAATTAAACTTTGCAAAATCCTTTTCCATGTTCTTTGAATAATGTGTACACAAATTTTGGTAATCAATCAGCTTATTGATTGGAGCTACAGATTCCTCTGAATAAGACAACTTTAATTATGATCACCCAGTACTTTGAAAATCTTGTATATAATTATAATTTTTTTCTTATGTTTTAACAAGTTGAAATGCCAGAATTTAACAGATATTTGGAATTGAATGAAAGTTGAGAGTTACCCAAGATGTTATTTTAGAATGAGAAAATTTTCATTTAAATTTAAAATGTGACAGATATGTTTCAAATAAGAAAGTATATTTGCTAATGTTCAAAATGTTCATTTTTGGGACTGTGAACTCTGAAGGTAAAAAAAGAAAGTCCAAAAGCATTTAGTCATTTTGATAGTGTTTGATTTTTATGCATTTCAGTTTAACTAGAAAGATAATAAAAATTTAAAAACTGTATTGAAGTTCAATCCATAGAAAAAATTGATGTTTAAATTTGATTTATGTCCAAATATTCTAAATTGTTGTTATTAACTTTATTTTAGCATAAGTAGATGTTAAGAGAATAAATATACTGTGTACAGAAAAACAATAATTTATTTTGAATCTATCAACAAGCAGAAAGAAACCACGAGTGTCCACTACAGGACTTTTTATTGAATTAATCCAATAATAATATAATAATTTATGATCACTAAATAAGTATTGCAAATGTTGTTACATGATAAATGCAAACAGATGTAACGAGATAAATTTTTCCCTTTAATTGATCAAAGATGTCAATAGTACTGTACATCTTGCATTATTAATTAGTCTTTGATTGCATTATAAGAAAAACTTTATAATATTAACATAAAATGCAGTTCTGTGTTATTAAAGACTATTAATTTTTATCTTTAATACATTTTATAGATTATTCAAAATTGTTAATGAAGTGAGAATGAAATTTATAGGGCTAATTTGTGGGAGAAATGACTGAAAATAAACCAGAATTTATTCTTTAATTTCAATAATAAAAAACTTAGTGAAAAACTTACTACAATAAATTTTTGTGTGTGTCAAGTAAGTATTTTGGATTGCCATTATTTTGTTTTCATGCTACATCTGATATGATATATGTAATCACAATATCTTTAAATATTTTTAAAAATTTTTTTATTTTCTCCATTTTTGATCTGGATCATTAAATTAATGTATAACCTCAGAAATACACAATGAAAAGCAAATCACTAACTGATGGCTATATGTAGCAGGACATATTCTAATTGTCTGATGTTTTCATTGATATCAAAGGAGAAATTAGCACTTTGAAAACTAACCATTTCTGAAAGTAATCATTTAAATAACTGACCATGATAATAGTTTCCATTAAAATATTTCAAAGTTATTCACAATAATTTTGCTATGTGTTATACAGTATGATTGTGAAAGGCCAAACTAATAGTGACTAGTGGTAGTTTGGATTAATGAAAAGTTTGGACTAACTGGGGTTATATAATAATATACAGTACAAAAAATGCTTGTTTTTCTTAGCATATATAGTAGTAGAATGCTGAAAATCTCTTGGACAGAGCACCAAACAAATTGCTCCATCCTAAATCAACTGATAATCACGACATGCCTTACCACTAAAATGTACCAATCCTATCTTTGCTTCTTGGGACATATTTCCAAATGCAAAAATGGATTTGAGAAACAAATCCTAGAAGGGAAGATCAATAACAAACGTCCTAGAGTCAGATGTTGGATTAGGTGGGCAGATGATTACAGGCCATACAATGTATGAAGCCATCCACATGGCACAACACCAGGAGTAGTGGAAAGATATAATTAAAGCCATCAATTTGTAATATCACCACATCCTTTGAAGGGCATAGGACTGAGAAGAAATATAGTAGTAGCAAAATATACGCATATACACAATGTTTTAACAGATAAGGAAATTTAAAAATACAATACAAAAATGTTGACATGCAACAGGTTTATGCAGTAAAGTACAATAAACCTATACTGTATAAAAAACTTAAAACTACTACTACTACTGTACCATACTGTATAATGTATGAAAATTAAATTTTTTTAAATCACAATACACTAAAATAATCAGAAAGTTTCTTTACAGTTTTACTCTATGCATAAAGCTTGAAAAAGTTTTCTTGTAAACAGCAAAGCAACAAAACTTCTGGGAGAGTTTTCATTGTTTTCAGCCCATTGCAGTAGTTTTTCTGCATAGCTAGCTGTATCTTTGTGTAAAACAGTTAGGAATGTTATTAAGTCAAACAGACTCACAAAAAGAATGAGCAGCTTTGCTTAAAACATGTGACTTATGTTTATTTTAAATGTGAACTGCAAGTGTACAGTTGACAAGTCCATTATTTTAGTTAAGGGAATGGTAGAAGCTGTTTAGATTACAAGGGGTTCAGATTAGCACAATAATACTGTAAATAATTTTTTACAAATGTATTAAACACATTTTAATAATTATTTCCAAACTGCTAGTTAAATTTATAAACAAAACAAGATTTTTCCTTCTAAGAAGTTTCAGTTAGAATACATGACATAAATTAATAACCTAAAATCACATTACACAAAAAACTAAAATTAAATAAAACAAGCAATTAATTAAATAATTTCAACAATTATTATTTATTCAGCTTTTAAAATTTACAAATATTTTTATTTTAAAATCTTACCTCTTTGCAACTATTCATCAATGAACTCAAACAAGATAGAGATGAACCTTTACCTCCTGAGACATGTTTCAATTTACTAATATCATCATTTATTTTAACAACCATAGGAATTTCTGTAACTTTACATTCATCTAGTCACATAAAGATATAAATTTCAATTTTTCATTGATTTCATAAATAGAGAACTAAATTACTTAAGAAGAGAGAATTAAGAAAATTAAATTACTGATTATACAAAAATAATAAATTCATCTGTTTATATAAAATAAAAATTAATATAAAATTAATGTTTACAAATAAATTTTTTTCTAAAGAAACTGATAAATATATTACAATAATATATCAATTTTAGTGAATTCCTAAAATTAAAATTTCAAAATAAATATTACTGTATTTTCATGTACTTAACCTACAATGGCATCTACCCACAAAATTTGTTAGAACAAAAATAAAACCTTTACATAACTCATCCCCATATACCCTATGCCTATGGAACAGTCAACAGATATTATCATACAGACATTATATTACAACTATTATATTACAAAATTACAATATAAGAACTAGAGGTAGACATTAGGCACCATCTCTTGACTAAAGTAGAAATTATAATTTAAATTTTAGACTATTCTATATACTATTACCCAGACTTCTAAATTTAAAATTTAAATTATAATTTCTACTTTAGTCAAGAAATGGCACCTAATGTCTACCTCTAGTTCTTATATTGTAATTTTGTAATATAATAGTTGTCATATAATGTCTGTATGATAATCTGTATGATGTTCTGCCCAATTATTTCAATTGTTGGTTGGTTCATCCAGGTATAATTTTTAACACAAAGAATTTATCTATAAACTGTGTTATTAAAAATGTTAAAGCATTATATACTATAAGGTAATTTTCATCAGAAAAAAAAATTTATGTTGTCAGATGATTTATATGAGTGTATAAACAACATATAAGAAAAAGAAAATAAAATTTTGTAGACAAGAACAAAAATTACATCATGTCAGAGAAGATATTAAGTGTAAGATTATAACATCTCAATTGTCTTACCAATTGCTTATCCAAAGTCAGTTACTGAACTTTCATAGTCACAATTAGAATAATCAAAATATGAGAGAAGAGTGAAAATGAAGTAAGAAATTCATCCCCAGTAAAAGAGATCAATATCTGAATAACTTTCCAAAAACTGTTGGTGATAAATCAAAGATTCAATGAAAAGAAAAATTGACTGTCCACAAAAAAAAGTTTATGAAAAAAGTCCAAACGGGATTAAAACAACTAAAATAGTTTCGCAGAATTGGAGAGACAATCCTCATTGAAGAATACAAAGCACTCCTCAAACTACTAAAAAAAAAATTCATTGTTAAACCATCAAGAGTTATAACCATCTTCATTAAATTGTCCAAAGAAAAAATTCTTCATATATATCCTAAAAAGTAAATCTCAAGTAATAAAAGAAATCTATTTTCACACAGGGTTTTCAGATAAAAGCCTATGTGAAAATAGATTTCATTTACTTCTGAAGGTTTACATTTTCACAGTAAAAATGTAAAAATATAAATCTTTAGTAGAAGCTCCACTGTTTCACCCAGATCTAGGGATTGAAACATCATGACAAACTTTCTCACAGATATTTACGGACTTGATCTTTTACCTTGATCCAATGGTATTTAAATCTCTCTCAAAAGTCTTAGCTTATTTACATTCATTGATGAGACTGAGTTATAGCACAAAGCTCCACATGTAAATCAGAATGAATTAAGAAAATAAACTTCTGACATAAAAAGTAATACATTTTTATTCAGAAATACCAAAGTTATAAAAAACCATAAAGATATAAAAGACCAAATGATATAAAAAACCATAAAGAAAAACAGCTTTCATATGTATATAAGATAAAAACTTTACAACTAATATAAAAGACAAACAAAATGAAATATCTAAAATAATTAAAATGTATATGTTAAATAATTATTCTAAGAGTAATTGAAAAATAGTTAAATATAAATACAAATAAACAATAGGAAAAATAAATTATATAAATTATAACAATAACAAAAAAAAGATATAAAAAAACCATATATTAAAGATTTGTTTGAGAAAATTAAAATTATTATATAAATATAACATTCAACTAGTGCTAGCAATGAAAATACAATTAAAAAATGGATATTTTATAGTTATAAGAAAAAATTAACAACAAAGGATAAATTGAAACAAAATGATGTAATTTATAAATTTAACTGTAATTAATTTAATAATCTCTCTATATAAATAGGTGAAATTGGTAAACAGTTAAAAATAAGATTAAAAGAACATAGATATCAAATATAATAAACCAAGTTCAGTAGTGAGTAAATAGTGCATTAAATATGGTTGCAAAATAAATAAAAATTCAATAGAAATAAGATGAGCAATTATTTTATTGTGGCATCGTCACAATGCCAGGCTGCAATTTTTAATCATATTTTTAATTTATTTAATTTGAAATATATGTTCTCCACCTCAAATTATTAGTGGCTTGCCCCTGTACATTATATTTTCCTTTAACAATAGTCATGCCAATGGTCATCTATCTAACTCCTATCAGGGAAAATTTTTTAATTGAAATAACATGATATCCGGTTTGCATCGGAAGCTCACATATAGTTAACTAGGGCCTCCTGCCCTTAAGCTTTCTATATCCAGTCTTGTCTTTCATTTATCTAACTCTGTTCTTGAGATTAAAAAGGGCAGACAGACAGATTAATGGCAATGGAAATTTACAGGTCTTCAATTTTTTCAAATTGCAGCCCAATCTTATAATAAAAAAAAAAAAAATTGTATGAATATTTAGCAATAACCAAAGAAAAAGGAAAATTAATTAATGTAAATGATGATATGAAAATTGACAAAAAGTAGCATAATTATATGAATAGTTTAAAATGAAGAAGTTGTATATAGAGAAAAATAGAAAAAAAAACTATGATAACATAAATTGGACTGTCAGAATGGATATGATAAATTAGGTAAGAAATTTGGTTTAATTACTCATAGATGCATCCATATTGATTCCAGCAGGTAGATTTAATGTAAAAAAATAACCAAACAAACATTTTTGATCACCTTTAGTTTGATTGTTTTTTATATTAAATCTATCTGCTGGAACCAATACAAAAGAGGTCTGTGAGTATTTACATCCTTTTAATTGTCATTAATTTAAAATTGTGATATCTAATGATTAAAAAAGTTTAACTAATGGACATAGTAATAAAAAAAGAGACAAGGATAATGTCATAGCATATTAATTAAGGAAATGATAAAAATGTATTTTAAAGACACTTGTAATCAAAGAAATTATTATACAAAATATATGTTAATGCGGATGTTATTATCAAGTAGACTGTTTATTGTGTAATATCATTAGTGAAAGAATCCACAACTTTATAATTTATTATATATTAGATAGAAATAATATCTTTCTTTTTGTATTGGATTTTAGTATGAATTAATTGATGTTGTAATATTGAGTTTTATGTAATGTTTATAAATTGACCAAAACAGGCTAAATGAAGAGGACTCTAAATTTAAGTCAAAATATACATTGGTATAATGATTATAGATATATTATGTTAGTTATTAAATAAATTATTAATGGTCTCAAATGTGTGATATACCCTACAATATTAAGTTACATGAATTAGTAACAATCTGTATATATATTAAAAGCAAAATGTTCCATCATCACTGCATGCAAATAATGTAAATTTGAAAATTTAAAAACAACTTTTAAATGGTTTTTAAAAACATTGTTTTAATTTTCAATTGATTTGATTTGATTTTTAATTTTGGCTTCAGTTTTGGTGTAAAGACCAAAATTTTAATTATTATTTAGCTTTAATTAATTTTTAAGTTTAATTTATTTAGTTTTAATTTAGTTTAGGTTTTTATAATTATTTTTAATAATTTTTATTTATTTATGATTGTTTATTTAATTTTATATTAACTTTACCAGCGTCTTTTGAAACTTAATTACAATTTTTTTAATTAATTGCAACTCTTTTGTTCTTTTGTGACATAACTATAGAAATTGTTTTAGTGTTGTTTCTCACAAAAAATAATCAAATTTAAATTTATTTTTTTAGTAATTCATTAATTAGTTATTTAGTAATTAATTAGTTTTTTAGTAATTCATTAATTTTTGTTTTATATGTTTGTCTACTTTAAAAATTTTTTTTTAATTTTAATTATAAGCAAGTTAACATTGATTAAACTATCAGGATACCTAGTATATGTAATAGTAATTTAATATATTAAGTTTAAGAATATTTACCTAAAACTTTTAATGGTGTCTGAACTTTTCTTGCAGGAATTAACTTCTCCTCATTTCTAAATTCAAATTAATTAAATATATTTATTATAATTATAATTTCATCTTTAAAACTTTATGAAATAAAAATGTAAAAACAAGATATAGAAAGTTAATTTTAATAAATAATAATAATCTTGAAATTTTATAAAATAATTATAAGTGTATGTAAAAATATATTTTCTTTACTTTTAAATTTAATAATAATATATCTGTATAGAACATATTTAAGTTGATATAAATATACCTGCAAAATAATACCATAACTATGAACATCATTAGGTCTTCATTTCTTTTTAGACTGTTACTTAATTTCAGTTGAAACAATACTCAATCAGTACTCAAAGCCCCATCTCTCTCATATATATACTTACAGGGACTATGAGCATTGATCAGCATTAAAGTTAACTTGCATTATAATGTTAATTCTAAATTATGTTAAGAAAAGAGCATCATTTTTAAAGTTAATAATAAACATCACCTGAAATGGTGATATTAAACTAGGAAAAGTATTAATACAACTAAAAATCACCTTCTCAATCTTAGCAAGTCAGTCAAACTAATCAAAAATATTTTTAATTTTAATAAATACTTTTATGCCAGGCTGCAATTTTTAATCATATTTTTAATTTATTTAATTTGAAATATATGTTCTCCACCTCAAATTATTAGTGGCTTGCCCCTGTACATTATACTTTTCCTTTNATTAAATATATTTATTATAATTATAATTTCATCTTTAAAACTTTATGAAATAAAAATGTAAAAACAAGATATAGAAAGTTAATTTTAATAAATAATAATAATCTTGAAATTTTATAAAATAATTATAAGTGTATGTAAAAATATATTTTCTTTACTTTTAAATTTAATAATAATATATCTGTATAGAACATATTTAAGTTGATATAAATATACCTGCAAAATAATACCATAACTATGAACATCATTAGGTCTTCATTTCTTTTTAGACTGTTACTTAATTTCAGTTGAAACAATACTCAATCAGTACTCAAAGCCCCATCTCTCTCATATATATACTTACAGGGACTATGAGCATTGATCAGCATTAAAGTTAACTTGCATTATAATGTTAATTCTAAATTATGTTAAGAAAAGAGCATCATTTTTAAAGTTAATAATAAACATCACCTGAAATGGTGATATTAAACTAGGAAAAGTATTAATACAACTAAAAATCACCTTCTCAATCTTAGCAAGTCAGTCAAACTAATCAAAAATATTTTTAATTTTAATAAATACTTTTCTAGGATTAAGAAAACATTACTTATATGATACTAATTATATCATCATTTGAAAATGAGATATTTGGTAATTTACAGGTAAATAATAATCTATCAGTGAAAATAGCATTGAGGTAATCAAATGCAAAGAATAAAACAAAAAGGAGTTGCATAATTTATTTTTAAAAAGTATATTAGAATAAAAAATGTAATTTACTTTTTAATTACATAATTTTATAAATTTATAATTATTTTATACTTTTATAAATAAAATTCTAACATGAAACTCAATAGATAGCTGTATTTTACCGAAATAAAAAAAAAAATCTAAGTATTGCACTTTCAGTAGCATCTGATAGATGAAATGTTGATAGATCGTGATAGATGAAATGTTAACAGATCCGGTTATTGCAATTCCACTGTTTTATTGTATAATTGTAATAATTTATACAACTTACCTAAAAACATATTCAACAATTCCATGCCCTGTAACATTGTTCAATTCACATTTGATACATCTTACATTTCTTCTAGTTGTAAAATTATCATTATGTAAAGTATCAAAAGCTTTTGTTGTTTGATCAATTGACAGACTATATCTATATTTTCCTAAATATAAAATATATAGTAGATTAAAATATATATTTAAAATTAAAAAATTTTTTCATTGTTTAAAAATAAATAAATAAATTTTTAGTAATGAGTAAATTATTTTAAAAATATTATTTACTGTAGAACAAGTCTATAATAATTTCTGTCTAATTTGCATTTGTCAGGACCCTCCCAACCCTACCAGACTTCATGGCATATACAGTGCCCCTATCAGAGATATCAGGAATAGGGACCTTCTGTATATCAAGTCCAATAAACATTCCATGAGAACAAGGATACAAGAACATCTCTCTGACATTCTACAGTCTTCTCTCCCTATGTGGCAGATCTGGAAATTGTGGTGGACTTCACTTGGTCCAAATTCATCCTAACCACATCCCACACAGAACACCTCAGATGGTTGGAGGCCATAGAAATGTTCAAAGCTAATTTTACAACATCATGTGTAAATTTTAAGAAGGAAATGATATTGTCATTGGCCTGGCAGACTCTACTTGACATCACAGTTTTAATCCTTTGGTTGAATCTTTGTTAAGCACATCCACGACTTTGAGTTTTTTTGTACTCATACTTCAAATACTTGTTCAAATTTATATTTCTTTCAATCAAAGCTTTTATGTTCTTAATGATGTTCCAACTGGTAACCAGTATAGTGCCTGAAGAAGAACTCAGGATGAGTTGGAAAACGTTTGCGATAGTTTTTGTTTTTTGTTTTTATATTTCACACTGATTATTGGTTCTGTGTATGTTGTTATAAATATATGATTTGTCTATTGGAAAGTTATGATTTATCTAAATGTAATACAGAGATCAATTCTAAACAACTTATAGTTTTAAAAATCTAAAATTTTTTTCATAATTAAAAATTAGTTCTTACCTGCTTTAAACCAAACATTAAAACAATCTTCAAAATTTCCATCTTCATACATTTTAAGAAATTTACCATCAAAAGAATCAATAGGTACAATCTTACGGTTAGGTATAATAATATAACCATATGGAACACTAAAATAAATTTTAATATTTTAGTAAAATTACAAAAAAGAGTAACTAATATAAATTTTAATTGTTACTTCATAATACTCTCATTAAAAAAGTGTTTATTCAAACTATAAAGTGTGAAAAAGATTATTATGAATAAAATTGTGTTTGAGTAAGACATCAAACAACAAACCTTAGCGATAAATAACAATCACAAAATTACACCTTTATACATATGTCTGTTATTTTGCATTTTTTGGCAAAGATTTAAATTGATTAATTTATCCAAGTCTGAAAATAGACTTCTTTTTTATATACAGTAGAGCGTCGGTTATCCGAAACATCGGTTATCTGAAAGAATTCCAGTCGGCCTAAAGTATAATTTTTATTTGTTTTTATATTTTTCAATGTATTTATTTTGTTTGTAAAACATAAAGAAATCATTTTTAATGATACAATAGCCACGATTATTATTTTAAAAGGTTTACGTTAGGCTTAACATCAACGAAAATTCAACACAAAGCGACACGCAACAGAGAAAAATTTCAACACGGGATAGGTTAATATATTTTTTCGTACATAATCGTTTATCCGAAAAATAAGTTATCTGAACAACCCCAGTCCCCAATTGATTCGGATAAACGACGCTCTACTGTATTTCAGTTTAAACATAAATTTCTCGTAAAATTATCTATGTAAAATGTTAAATAAAATAAAATCATAATGTAAAAAATTATATACAGGTATACCTCGACTTACGTCGTTTCGAGTTACGTCGTTCCCGATTATACGTCGTTTGTCAAAAAAGTATACGAAAAAATAAAAATCAAGTTTAAGTCATTTTATTCGACTTTACGTCCGTCCGCCACAAATATTGAAGTCGTAATATCACTAGAAAAGCGTTTAAAGCACATAAAATCATATTAAAATATACACATTTACAAGTATGTACTGTATTTACAGTACAGTACATGCATTCGTAAATTTAGATTACTTTTTTCTGTACTCTATTAAAAACTAAATTTATTTGTTTGTAAGCTTAAAATAGATTCTTATTAACAATATATGATTAAAAATGCATTAATAAATAAAATACAGAACTGGGAATAGTAATTTATAGTTTAGTCTAGTGACAAGTAGATTCGGAGACAAGTAAATTCGACTTACGTCGTTTTTCGACTTAAGTCGTTTTCCTGGAACCAATTACCGACGTAAGGCGAGGTATACCTGTAATACTAATTTAATAATTTCCAAAATTTACAATGTTTCAAAAATGATCTATGAATCATACAGATAAATCTTACACACAAACTGGAATGGTATAGTAATCAATACACTAACACCTAAATGCTAATTCCAGCATATAATCTTTAATGTTCCAAACGTTTTCAGCTGTCTTTCAGAGACCCTCTTCAGGAAAGAATGCATAAATACAAACAAACAGTTCTATCGTTTGAAAAGCCTTTTGAACATAGCTGTGTTCAAAAGCTAATATTAAAGATTAATATTAGCTTTTATTCCAGCACATAATCTTTAAAACATTAAAGATTATATGCTGGAATTAGCATTTAGCTATTAGTGTGTTGATCTATGAAAATTAAGCCTATCTTTTAATTTTATTGATTATATTACAGAATTTATTTATACTTATATTTTCCCTAAGCAGAATTAATAAGTATAGGTATAATACTAAGTGTTTATAATCAATAAATTTTTATAAAATTTGCTACAGTAATTCAAATTTTATTTCAAAAAGATTTTTTTTTAAATTTATATTTCTTGTAATATTGTTTCTAGCTCAGAAAAAAATATAATAATATATTATGAATAAAACTGTTCCAAAGTTTCATTACTAAAATTATTTCATATGTTTATTTTTAATATTAAATGACACAGCAATTTACAGTTCCATCAACAATTCAAATTATGTACTTCTTCACTGTTCATTTGATTATTATTTATTTCAAAATCAAATTTACACTGATTTATATAAACAATTTTTATGCCATGCTTAATTCTTCTATTTAATAAATTTATGATAATTTTAATAAGCTTAAAATTAATATACATTTACTGTATTTAGACATCACGTTTACATTATATTTGAAAATAAAATTTTTAATAATGATTATAATTAGATCTACTTTACAAATATTTTATTAATATTGTAATTATAATTAATGCTTATTTTTAAAATTTTATATTAAATTTTATAAATTTTTAAAATTATTTTAAAAATTTTATGTCTTTGTGCAATAGTTTTTATATTATAATTTTCTGTAATTATAAAAATTATTTCAATTTAATCCAATGAAACAAACATTCAGCTATTTTACCATAAACAAATATTTAACTGTTTCCATAATCAGTTATATCTCAATATTTAAAAAGAAATCAGACATTCTATTATTAAAAATAACAAACGTTTTACAAAAATATTTAGATTATTTTACCTTATAGTTTACAAACTGTACATATAAATATATATATAATTTCATTATAAAAAATATATATATATATTTCATAAAATTAGAAAATATATACAGATAATATCATTCATTTAATTTCAATATATATATATTAAATATATATATCAAAATTAAGGTTTAATTTTCAGTACAGGACCAATACCAAAAACACTATTTAAGCTATAAGACGCCCTTGTGCCAATGACACAAATGCATAATACATAACAGATACAACAGATACACTAACTAGTAATTAAGGGCTACTAATAGCCCTTGCTTGTTAATTTAAAAAAACACGTTTAATTAACTTAAAGAATTTAAAGGAATTGACTAGGAACAAGGACTTAAAAGTCCAATCCACACCTTTCACATAGTACAACCTGTTAGTAACCATGTCTAGTACATGGCAAATGAACATGAATGGGTTCTTTCCAATCTGCACTGGCCAGCATGGAGGACCATGACCAACTTCCCTCTAGCATTTTTTTTTTTCATGAATTCTCTGAATAATACTCAGTTGCTGGAAGTTGTACTGTCTCTGGCTATGCTTTTATAGGAACGCTTTGGTGTCTACTTGTCTCCACTTATTGTATTCTCTGTGTTTATTGTCCTTACATTTTCAGCTGTTTGTAACCCGCGATTACATCTGACATTGTCAGTCAACTCCTACTGTTAACCTCTTTATACTGTGTAAATAATATATGTCTCTGTCTCATGTGTATTTTTGTATACTCCAAATTACTACTGTCGCGCCTACCAATCTTGTAATTATATTTCTATGTATGTAATTCTGTAATAATCCTATTGTTATTTTGTGCTGTGTTATTATTTAATAAATGCAATGCAGGTGCCCACGGGTCCCATGACCCTGGTTACTTTTTCCCTCTATCCATCTCACTTTACTTCTCTTACTCTTACCCCTTCTTACACTCTCAACTCTTCCTCCTTTTCTAGTCTGAACATATACCTCTGTGTGAGGCCCTTATCTTTCTCAGCACTGTCTCTGGCTATGGCAGTAATCAGAAACATGAAGACAGGGTTCTAAGAATCTCCGGGTTAGACCTGGCTGTTATACAATGATGACTTTGGCTATGTACAATGACAATTTTTATCTTCTCAAATTCAGTTACATAAACTAGAAAAACTAGAGAGAATTAAGTGGGATATCTTAGGAGTCTGTGAGGTAAGAAGAAAAGAAGAAGAGAAAATTGAACTCAAATGGTTAAATGCAATAGTCTTAGCAGAGTGATGCAACTCGTGGTCTTGCACAACCTGATTTTTAGGAGGCTGTATCTCATGAAGGATTGCTTGTAGAGATATGGTTCCTTTGACTTTTTTGCTCCTATGATAATGCTTTATAGCTCTGATAAGGTCCCTATCATTTCATTCAGAGCTTGAATTAAGCCATATTATTTGTGTAAGTAGCTATTTTTTGCATTATTGTTGCCATATATGGAAACACATAATGTAAAAAATATTACTAATTTCATTATTAGATCCATTTGCACTTCTCCAAGTCCATTTGTGATGTTTTTCTTGAAAAAGGAATTTATAATGTATAGCTGTTCATATTCTACAAATTCAACAAGTCTTCTTCCTCTTTCATTTTGTTGTACCATAACCATAGTTCTCAACTGAGTTTTTGCCATTTTTCTTTTCTTCAATTCTTGAATTCAGGTTATGCATGATTAGCTTAAGATAATGATTTATTTTCTTACTCATCATTCTTACTTTTTTTTATAGAAATCTTCAATATCCTCCTCAAAATAGCTAGTTGTTGATGTATAAACTTGGATAATCTGTATTTTGTACCTTTTTGACAGATGGTTAACTAATCTTGCTACTCGTTTTTGATGGGCTGTCAAACTGAATAATATGATTTTTCCACTTTTTGTGAATAAGAAAATTATTCCACTAGTTTTATTATTATCTGTTCCCCTGTAATAGAATACATGTCTATATTTAGGCCATGAGACTATGCTGGCTTTGAGTAGCCCACCTGACTGTTCATGAAATACTTGATGTTATATAGTTTTTCCCAGGTGAGCACCAAAGCTTCCAGGTGGGGTGAGCTTCACCCCCATCTGGAAGCTTTGGTGCTCACTATTAACTGATGTGGAGCATGGAGAATAGGCAGCATACTGATACATGTTAAAAACTGACCTTTGGAAGAAAATATCTTGCAAAGGGTCACATGTACAGGTATAGTTCTTCGAATTTTTTGCTCATATAGGGAGGTTTACAATTCTCAGGGGATGCAAAACCCCTCATTCAGAGTTTGAATCTTACCAATAATACAATATTAAACTCATTTTAATTTATGTTAATTACTTTAAAAAATATTTAATGATACAATTTATGTAAATAAATAAAAATATCAAAAAACTCTACCTCTATAAAAAAAACTCTATAAAAAAACTCCACATGCAAAATAATCACCACATATCTAAAACATCATATTATTTTCATGTAAAATAAGCAATACTCAAATTTTATATGTATTTATAACTTAACAAAAATCCTAATATATTCTACATTTACAAAAGCTATTTATTATATTACATACAATAATTAATTCTATAACATGATAGAGCAGCTAGTATAAAGATTTAAATGAATTTAAAGAAAATTTCTTAAGTATTATGACAGTATTAAAATATTTTTTATACAAACTTAAATTACAGCTCTTCACTTATTTTAAGTTTTTATCTGTAATATTAATTCAACATGATACAACTTCAAATTTAGTATAGCTGTTCCTTGATAATCCGACAGGTATGGGACCAAAGGGGTGTCGGATTACCAAAAGTGTCCGGATTACCGAAAGTGGTTACATATTTGGCATTGTTTTGCTAGCAGTAGCCTACAATATTACCTACTCCAACTGTTCGAACAGAACTGCTCACGGAAAACACAAGAAATGTGTGTCACCGTGTAAGAATTGGGTGAGGAGATTCACATTGCAACATGCTTCTGTGCAAGCAGACACGTAACAGGGACGGGTACCTTGACAGGAGGTGCATCAGACTACTGAGCATGTCAAATTACAAAACGTCAGACTATCAAGGGACAACTGTATTTAGACTTCAGGATAATTAATAATTTTTTTTATATTTAATTTATTTTTAGTAACTTAATAAATACAATTATTACTTTAATAAACATAACAAGATATAATAAAAATATTTTACAAATAATAAATTTCATAGTAAAATTCAAACTTTTGTCTTACCATTTTAATTTTGTGTTTGCAATAGAAAAAATACCAAAGTGAAATATAAATCCATTCTGAAATAAAAGTAATCATTTAAAAATCATAATGTATAACTTTTATTTTTATGCTAAATCAATAAAAATATAAAATCTAAAATGCAACTGCAAACAAAATTCAAATCTTTCTAAGCTCTGATTAGTAAGTTTACATGCATTTACTTTTAATGAAAAAGAAAATTCATATAAAAATTTAATTAGAGGGCATTTATCATTCATATCTTAATATACATATATAACAATTTCAAAAAATTTATATTAGGATTTTTTATTTCTTTTTTTATTGATTATAAAATCACAAAATATCTTTTATGAAATAAATGTTATGATAAAATTATTTTTATACTTTTATGATATTGGCAAAAAACACAATTTTGTTTCTATATTTTGAAGTGAATGTCTACTTTGAAATAATATGTTAGAATTAATTTTGAATTATGAAATACTTCTAAAGCTCTAGCTAACATGCAAAAATCATACTTTTCCAGCAGAACAAAGTTTTTAATTTACACAACAGCAAATATTTTCAGCTTTTTTCAGGAGCTTTCTTCTACATAAATCTGCTGAAGACCCCTGCAAGAGGCTAAAAATGTTTGCTATTATGTAAATTAAAAACTTTGTCCTACTGGAAAAGTGTGTATGATTTCTGCATGTTGGAATTAATTTTAAAATGCTATTTGAAAATAGATCTGTATAAAAAGAACTAATATTTTGTATTTATTTTTTTTATATGCTATTTTTTGAATTTTTGACTGAACATTATTATAAATACAGCACCCCTCAAATTTGGTTTTTGCTTACAAATTAAATACTATCTCCAACAATAACAATATTTATTTATTTTTTTAAATTTCTTACAACTTTCTATAAAAATTCAAAGTATTAAAAAATGTTTAATAATTGGCATAAGATATAAATACAAATATAAAAATTAAAATATAAAAAATCAAATAAATGTAAGAATATAAAAATTTTTATGACAATTGAACAAAATTAATAATAAATGTCATTTAGCTTAAATTTGTTTTGTTCAAGACATATTAATCATTAGAAAAACTGGCACTTATGAGTTAGTCTCATGCATATTCTGTCATGCACTGCATTCCAATGTCACACTGCATAGGCAATGAAATAGCATGCTATTCAAAAATACAAGTACAGTGAAATCTGTGTGTAAACTGGAATTGCATGATAACAAATATTTTTTTTAGTTTTGCTGGTTTCCATTTTGATAAAGTTTTTTAATGCAGAAAATCACTCAGTTTCAAAGAATTTTTCCATTTTGGGCAGGTTTCCATTTTATTCAGGTTCTGTTTTGGACAGGTTTTACTATATAAAATTTTTTGAAAGTTTTCAAAAGATTTTGATAAAACAGTACAATTAATGATTTTGGCTGTTATTGTTACATTAAAACTTTTAATTACTACTTCTTGAGCTAAATTTTAAAGTTAAACTACCTACTTTCCTTCACTTAGAACTTGTTTCATAGACAGGCCAGTTTTTACCAGTAATTATTAGTAGTTATGAAACTTACTTTCCATTTGAAATGATCTTCTCCGTACAAATTCAGAAATATACCAATTTAGTTGTTTTCTTGATGTTCCACGTTGAATATTCATGTTTTTGTACTTTTATGCAAAGATGCCATTTCCATTTGTCTGTACCAACATCACACTACCATTTAAAATTTTTTTCACTCTAAATATAAATTCATTTTAATATCTTTTTTGTAAAGATCTTCAAAAATATACTATACCATATTCCTGCAGAATATGATCATCATCATTCTCAGGCATAGACAAATTCAAAATATTGAATAAATAATCAATTCTCGATACACTGCTCCTTTGATACAAATTCTCAAAGCAAAAACTAATTTGTATATTAGTGCATAATATTAAAGATTATATGGTATGTTTAGTTTTTTAATAGTTATTTTGAGTTTATAAATGAAAAAATATTTTAAAATATTTGTAAATAAATTAATCTTAATCTTAGAGCATGACAGATACATGAAAATGAAAAGTGACATGACACAACATATATGAGGATAAGCCACAAGTGCCAAAAAATTAAGATTAAATTATTTTATAAAGCATACCAATAAATAGCCATAGAATTTCACTCCATAACTTGTATCTTTACAATTATAAGTATCTGAAAAAAATATATATATAAAACAAAATTATATAACTAAATAAAAAAATTTATCTGTTGAAATTGTTTACTGAAAGAAAAAGAATCAACAATCTATGATATAATTGTTGCATATCAATATATAAAGAAAGATAATTTAGTTTTGAAAAATACAAAATTGAATTTTTAAATTTAGCCAATTTCCAAATGAAATATAAATACAAAACTTACTGATTTATATAGCAAATAACTTTAAATTTAATAAATTATACATGTAACACATGAATTTTTATAAGTGTATAATTTATGTATAAGNAATGATAAGAGTAGATTAGATTGTAAACCATTATAACATTTAGTGAGAGAGGGAGGGAGGACTGTAAGGCTATAAATTGTAAATCAACTTCTACATGGGAGGAAAGAAATCTACATCTGAAAAGTAGTCCTGTTGATTCCTTTCCTCCATAATTTTTGTGCTGAAAATTGGTTTAGTTTGCCATCTTTGTTTTTGATACCTTTAAATGTAGCTGATTATCAGCATGTGCCTGTGAATTTCAATTAGTTATAATGTTTATTAACAAATTTAAAAATATTAAACATTGTTTTGAAGTGTAACACACAAAAAATGTTACTATATTGTATTGTGATATGTAACACAATAATTAATTACAATATTATTATTCATGGAGTATTATATAGGCTTATGAGCAGCCATAGAAATTATATCTTAATGTTGTCTTTATTTTTTTTTTTGTTTGCCTTATGATCAATTTGACTTATCATGATGGGAGGCTATAATAGAACTCTGAAAGTTGGGAATTGCTTATATAAATATCAATCCCCTCCCTTACATTTCTAGTACTGTATTTTCAATCAAAACTGCCTTGTCATATTTGAAACTATTTATTTTATTTCTGAATACTTGAAATTTAATGTCATCAGATTTAATTTAAGTTTACAAAATCTGACAGAAAAAGTTAATTTTACAAATTTGCATAAATTTTTTATAAGTAAATTATTCAGACTCACTCCTGCTTCGCCTTCTAATTCCCCACAAATACACTTCCTGTTCAGGATCATTGTCGATAATCACTGTTCCAATACTTTCTCCCCAATGATCATATGAATTTAATTGTTCAAGCACACTACATAATTTAAATAAACAAATATAATGAATAATTCATTTTAATAAAAGTTCTTGATTTAATAACTCAAAAATTGTAATTTAAAAAATAATTAATACAACTAATTAATTTAATTATTATAACAGAACAAATATTTTCATCACCTATTAAAATTTGCAAAAATCTTCCAACCACTTTTCAAAACTGATTCTGCTAATAAATAAGAGCTGTAATTTGTCTGAAGATCAGTAACAGCACTCACAGGCATCCAACTATGATTATAAATTTATATTTAACACATAAATCAAAATAAATAATATTAATAAAATAATATATATTTATACATTAATTTAAATACAGTCGACCCCCCTATAACACGGTAGATACATTCCAGTTTTTATGAATCCATTTTCTACAAGTCCAGACAATCACAGCCCGGCACGTATGCAGTTTAAGGACTATGGCTGTTTGAAAGGTTTCTTCCATAAAATTAATCGATTCTAGACTAATTTGATTCAATATTTCCAAAATACGTATAATCTTTGGGAATAATCCATATTAACTATGCTATAAACAAAAAATTGTAAGATTACTTACTGAGTGTGCACCGTTCGACTACGCCATTGCTTAAGCTTGTTTTCGTCATGGAGCTTGTTATCAAATGGCACTCGCGTGCTTTTGATAAATTATTTTTTTTGCGAAAAATTCACTGAACTTTGGAGACATCATTCAAATAAATAAAGTTTTTATGGACATTAAATAATAAATGGTTTTTAGTACATCCACTGTTTGTTTAAACTCAATGGTTTGTACAATATCCGCTATTGGTCTAGATTTGACCAATCCTGTCGCGACACGAGTCGGCGATGATGCTTTACTGAATCATACGAGTTTTTTTAGCATGTTTGTACGAATACTGTCGAAATTTTTTCGCTGTGATATAGGAATCTGAACTATAGGAACCTGTGTTATAGGGGTGGTCGACTGTATATGACTATATATTAAAAAAAAGTGAATAATAATCACTTTTGGAAACATTTATGTATACAGCATTTTAAAAGAAAATTTTAAAAGGCTGATGAATGAAACATGCCAGTCATCTATCTAACTCTGTTCAGGAGAAAATTTTTGAATTATACAAACTTCTGGTTTAGACTGGAAGTCTAAGCCAGAAGTTTGTATATAGTTAATTGGACCTCCTACCTGTAAGATTTCCATAGCTGGTCTCAACTTTCATATAACTCCATTCTCAAGAGTATGAAAGAATATACAGACAGACACCAGTGGGAATTTATAGTCTGGAAGCCTTTTATTTATTTTATTCAAAAAATAACAATAGTACATTGTCACTCAAAGCAAGACATCAGTTTAATAAATGTTTTCAACTTATTTAAGCATCTTTTTCAAGTAAAAATAAAATATTGGACATTTTCAGCTATTTATGCATCTTCTCATGAATTATAGAAAATACCATTATAACCATTATAAGGATGATTCATTCATATAATATATGAAAAAACACTTAACATATTTTTAAAACTTTATGCTTTTTAATTTAATTAATGGTAAAATATAAAGTTTTGTCATAAATTATTAAATCTGATTGTGAATTGAATAAAATGATAAGAGTAGATTAGATTGTAAACCATTATAACATGAACATTTTGAATATATATACTATTTATTATATCTTTCCTAGCTACACTTTAAACTCTAAAATAAAATAATTGAGTTGGCAACTCAAACTAACCATCTTTCTTTAGAACTGAAGTGTGAGCAAATCTTTTAAACATTATATATTTATACAATACAAACATTTAAAGTACTATACTGTCGCAATTTTATATTAATAGCAAAAGATATTAATATGGCTATAATAAAAGCTTAGTATATAGAATGGCAGACAAGCAAAAAAACCAACTCAAAGATCAATTGAATAGAGCTCTGAAAAATAGTCTGGCAGGATATATCTCCCTACCGTATTGCTATAAAGTATGAATGCCTTATGCACTCCCTATATCGAGAAACTGGGTCTTATACTAATGAAAAATAGCCTACAGATGTAAGCCAGATACATTCGACATGCTAAGGAATTAGAAGGATTGGGCAGACATCAAAAGAACACCAGGAGTGTATAAAATTCCACTCAAAGATAACAAATAGAGACCTTGTATATATTGGATCTACAGGAAGGTTGCTTAAATAATGCCTCTGTGAACTAAACTCCAAATGGGATATTGAAAAGAAGAAAAACACTATCACTTTAGCTATATATGCCAGTGAAAACATCATTACACCCAAACTACAGCAAGCGGCACAATCCGGCAAACCATCATATAAACCAACTTAAGAATTTGGAAGCATTAGAGATTTTTAAATCAGACTGCCAGGGTCTTTCAATCAACTTTACGGATGAAAAACAACTCTCAAAGGCATGGCAAACTATGTATGACATGGCATTATAACAGCCAACGCAGATGCAATTTTTAGAAATTTACAAAAACAGAAGCATTTGAAATTAGAACACATTAGAACTAAATGGAACACTAATCACACCAGAAAGAATTTTTTCTAGAACTCCACCTGAAGAAGGTCCTAAGGTGGACTGAAAACATTTGTGTTACATTCCGAAATAACTGCAAAGCATTATAAAGTTACTGCAGTATATTTATAATATGAGTTTTGTTAGATAACTACTTATCTTATAAATGGAGAAGTCTTATTCAGAGAAATATTAGACTAATTTAAATTTTAGCAGTTTTATTTTTGTATATAAATTATCATTCTATCTACAAACTAAGAAAAATTTACTGATTCAAGATACAAAACTCTGATTTTAAATTCTACATAAATACTTACACAAATGAAAATTTAACATGTTTTCCACAGTCATTTGGGTCGCTGATATCTCTGTAAAAATTTTTTAAATTACATATACTATATATATATATATATATATATATATAGTATATGTAATTTAAAAAATTTTTACAGAGATATCAGCGACCCAAATGACTGTGGAAAACATGTTAAATTTTCATTTGTGTAAGTATTTATGTAGAATTTAAAATCAGAGTTTTGTATCTTGAATCAGTAAATTTTTCTTAGTTTGTAGATAGAATGATAATTTATATACAAAAATAAAACTGCTAAAATTTAAATTAGTCTAATATTTCTCTGAATAAGACTTCTCCATTTATAAGATAAGTAGTTNATCATCTAAAAATTATATCAATTTCTATAATTAGTCAGTTAACTATAGTACATTTTTTATCACTGAGGACATCATGCAACTTTGTTATATTGTGATAGAATTGAGCAGAGCCAGAAAGAAAGAATTGATTTTTGCACCTGCTGGGCATGGATAGGCAATCCTTGCACAAACCTGGCACAGACACGTGATTCTTGCATTTACCACCAGAGAGGAGATGATCCTTGCACTTGCCAACATGGAAAGTTGCAGAACAAGCAAAACACACAAACAAAGAAACTGATGTCGATTGCTTTATTCTTGTGTTTTGTTCATTTTTCATGCCCATTTTCCATTAGTCATATGCAATGCTGTTTTTTTATTTTGTCCCCTAAATTCCATTAGGTATACTCAATCATTTCAGTGAGCATTGTAACTTTGCCCCTACTGTATCTCAAAAATGAAATCCTGAACCTCCATTTGGTTTCCTCATCACAATTAATGAAAAATGGCAAAGTTTTATCAAAATCAATCAATCAAATTTTGAGAATAAAAACAATTTTGTAAGCCACAATTTTGCTAATGCTCCACCTCAAATATAATGTTATTAATGTACAGGATGCTTCACATCAGGTTTTACAAGTCAATAACTCAAATAATATGCTTCTAATAAAAAAATTGATGAGAATAAAAGTTTAATAATTTCAAGGGGCATTGAAAATATGCTTCTCAGAAATATTAAACTTTTATTTTTATTAATTTTTTTTTTATTACAAGCATATTATCTGAGTTATTGACTTGTTATTGATTTATAACACCTTATGTGAAACACCCTGTATAAAAGTGACATACAAATTTTTTCAAACTGTGACTCTCTACTTTGAAAACATGCTTCTTATAACCCTTCAATCTTTCCACACATTTGTCAATGTATTTTTTATTGTATCAATATATTAAGAACTTCTTTAACAAATAACTGAAAATTACAAAACAGAAATCAGTTTTCTGGATGTGAGATAAAAAGATCAAACAAACATTAAAGGTAGAAACTTTGTGTTTTTCTCTTTTAAATGTTTTTGACATTGCAAAAGTCTTTTTCAAGATGACTTCTAAATAGAATAAAAAATGCGTGAAATTTACACATACACAAAATATTTTATTGAATATTATAATTTATATTTTTAATGATTTAATACTTAACTCTGTAAATCATTTGAAATTCTGGTGTTCTTTTTCATCTATAAAATGTTTGTTAGATGCTGATAATAGCCTAAGTTTATATTTAATGTTTCAGTTTTGTTTTAAATACATTTTGGTAGTCTTAAAGTAGTAGTTTGTTTGTTTATTTATTTAAATTAAAATTACTCTTTCTTATTTATTTAATATATAATAGTTATTATGAAAGTTTTTTGAAAATTTCATAATTTTTTTTTATATCTTATAGTATGATACTGTATCCATCAAAACAATTGTTTGATCAAAAATATGTTTTGACCAAACAATTGCCAAATTATATTATGCTCTACTACTATTATTAATTAAATGCTAAGTAATTTGACTCCTAGAGGCAGGTGTGCCAAATAACTTAGCATTTAATTAATAATAGTAGTAGTAATGTAGCCCAGTATAATTCAGCAATTATTTGGCTTTAATATATATATTGGATTTGGATGTTTATATCCAAACCCAGTAATTACATAACAGTAAATAACATATAACATCAAGCTATCTGAACTGTGAGATAAACTATAATACTTTTTTTTTAAACATAAGTATTCATTTTTCTAATCTATAAATGTGTGTAATTAAGGGTTTATTACATAAAAATAATAAAAAACAAAAAGTTTATTTTTAGAAAATTTAATTAACATGTAAGCAACAAAAAAAATGAATAAATATTAAATTTGTTTTAAAATAGAAAATAATTATAATCACATAATAAAATAACTAAGTTATAACCTGAGTAATCCATTATATGAAATTCTCCATCTTCTGAAAGGTGATAAACATTTTATTTCAAGGCCATTTCCAGAGAAATCTCTCAAATCATATAAAACAGTATCTATATTAGGATGAATTGGTAACTCATAACATCCTTTGTTAGCAAGTTTCAAAAACAGAGAGACTTCTCCTAAACAGGAATTCTTTCTGGTAATATGAACCATAAAGCAGTCTCCATTAGAATTTCCAGAATAAAATAATACTTTATCATGTGACTAAATCGGAATAAGAAATAATATAAATTAGTAATTTAATCCAAAATGTTAAACTTGACATATGAATATTATATTGACTATTTAAAATAAATCAGAATTTGAGGAAAGAAATCATTATTTACAAAGAACTATTATGAAAAATATGACAGATGTAGAAAAAACAAAAACAAAAAGGGGAAAAGTATGCTAAGTTTTATCTTTAGCATTAACAGAACAAAAAAAAATTAAAAGTTATGTTATTATATTATTATAAATACGATCATTAAAAACATCTTCTACTTATAATTATGAGATGAAATTAGTTAAATTGTCACAAATAGAAAAAATATATATGGAGAAACCATCCTTATTAAATTAATTCAAAAAGATAAACAACACAAAATGCAAATAAAATAAAAACTCAACCATTTTGAAATGTTAATATAATTATTTAGTTATTAACTACATTAATATCTATTAACATTAACATTTATCAATTATTACAGCTTGAAAAACTAAATCTTTAATTTTCAGCATATGATTTACATATGAATAAACATTTTCAACTAAATTAGTCATCATCAAGTTTCAAATATATATACTACAATTCTAGAACATCAGTTCAAAAATTAATCAAAGGCATAAATAGCATTCATTACAAGGCATAGCTATTCAAGTACATGTAAAAAGTGTTTACATAATATTCTAAATTTTAAAAAATTTCATAATACCATGCTGCAAATAAAATATTTCAAAAGAAATCAAATATATTATATACTTTTTAGTTATCATTATAACTGTTTTTAGTTATTTGAATTTCATTTAGAGCAAAAGAATTTCCCAAATTTTATTTCTGAATCAGTATTATCTAATTGACAACTGTTAAGAATTCAAAACATTTTTAAAAATAAATAATTACACATTTTATAATTAATCTGGCTAGAAAATTTAATTATAATGAGAACAAATTCATTGTTTATAAGCAAAACAGTATATTAAAAATTATTTCTTACATATTCAGGATTGCATGAAAAGTCTAAAGGTTTTTCAATATCCCATTCAGCTTTTGAAGTCACAATTCCTAATTTTTCTATATCTGGTGAACTGTAATAGTATTCACATATGTTCTTTTCACATTTTCTTTGAAAAATCTTTGTTATTAAAACATATATCACATATCGCAGAAAATACAATCCACCTAAAAATAAAAATATTTAAAACAAGCATATCTTAATTAACCAGATGTTTTTCTAATAAGATAATTAAATCAACAAACAGAATGTAGAAAAATCATTATCAAAAGGTTAAGCATACTTATGTTATTTTTTTGCAACAATTGTAGTTCCTATGTGGCTGATATATGTATATGGTAGAAAGATATAGAAACAGTAATCTATTTAATAGATTAAATGTTGGATTTCAATCCATTTAATAGACTGAAATCTAATAATCTATTAAATAAATTAAACTTTTCTTGTCGTTTTTATTGTTAGATTTTAAACAATTTTCTTATTGCTCTTAGTGCCTGTATTCTTAGGGGCAGTCCATAAATTATGTCCACGTTTCTTGAAATTTTTACTCCCCCTCCTCTCTTATCCCAATTTGTACAAGTGTTCATAACTCCCTCCCCTCTTCGGATGTCCAACAAAACTTGATCCTCCTTAAAACCATTATCACTTCAGGAATGATAGATACCATAAGTAGAAATGAAACGTACAAGAAATTTTGAAATATAATAATGCATAAAATGCATTTTATTATATTTATATTTATTTATGCAAAAGCTGTATATAATGAAATGTATTTAATGAAATAAATGGATGTCTACTGAAGCTCAACCCCTCTCTTTCCTTTGTCTGACTTTGACTTGTCTTTAACTCCCTCCCCCTTCCAGTGTGGATGTCATTTATGAACAGCACCTAACTAATAAATTTAGTCTAAAAGTAGATGGTTAGACCACGTTTTGCATTAATAATTAGAAGAATAAATCAACTTAGAACTCAAATCTGTAATTTCTGCTTACCTGTAAAAGTACAATTGTGTTAATAGCTATACTACTTGGATCTCTGTACAATCATCTGTTCCAAACATACATATAATTTAAATCCACCATCTAACCATACAGATTAACTATTGCCACAAGACTTCAGCTTAAGTTGATTAAAATTCAAGCTTTGCTGATATTATAAAATAATAGTAAAAAATATATTTTAAAATTTCCAAAATTACTATAGCAGAACTGAATTTAGAGCAAAGATCTGATCAAAACTCACTATCTTTTATCTTTTTAATACAGTTTAATATCAAGTTTTAATGGTAGAACTAAATATCGTACACAAGATTAGCCAAAGTTCTATCATTCATATAAAACTATACTGTATAAGATTCTTCTGACTGGAAGTAAAGTTAATTACTTAAGAAATGGTTAATATATCTTGTCTTTTGGAAGAATATTTCATCAGAAAAGCCAAAAATGTGCTAGTGTCAATTGAACTTTCGTGTGTCAAAAAGTTATTTCAAAAATTATCATAAAAATGGGGAGTTCCTTTTATTTCATTAAGATACTATAAAACTAGGGATTTTAACTGGTGCCAAATCTTACTTAAACATCTTCAATTATTTAATGATAGTATTTACATTCTATAGCAGAATGTAGGATTTGGCTCACCTTTTATGATTTTGTAATTTTTATACCATGTACAGTTGACAAAACTTTCAGAAAAAATACTTTGGTGTTAAAGGTCTTGGAAAAATAGCATTAAAACCAATAAATATATCCTTTTATCAGAAGAAAATTTTAACAAACTTTCTTCTTAAATTTCAATGCATAAATTAGAAGTATCGCTAATACTGAAAATTTAATGTTTTTTTTAAATATATTTATCAGTAAAAGAAGTATATGTATATATACATATATTATTGTATGTTTTAACAGCACATATTAATGATAAAAGCAGTGTATTTGTGGGTTAAACCTCAAAACAAGTTTTATCTAAAGAAAAGGACTCTGGTTAGCAATTGGTATATTTCAGATGTACTGAGCATTATCACTTAATAACTTTTATAATTACTTTAATGTAATTACTATAAATACTTTCATAGTGCTTCCCAACATATTTATAGATTTCAAGATTCCTAATATTCCTAAAATGTATTTAAAAAAGACAGGAAAAAATTTTGTCATGGAATCTGGAAGGCAGCTGCTTACTTGTTCCATAATGTCCATGATTTTACATTATCTAACTTTAGTATTATTTCACTCTTATATATTTATATGGTATAAAATTTGTAGAATGCCTCAAATAAACTAATTAAGCATAGCATATTAACTTTAAAAATAATAAAATTGGGAATATCTGAATGCATATTGTGTGTAATATTAATGAAATAAAGATTTCGTTTATGCATTTTTTTTTCTAAAATAAATTAAAGCAAGAATACACGTAAATTATTATTCCACAAACAAATAAACACTGCTCTATCAAGACAAATCACGCGCTTCGGTTGTTCAAACACCCTCTTGTGGGTAAATTCTTACAAACACATACTGTTGTTACTTCCAATTTTTCAAAAAGATTACCATATATACTTTATTTATTTATTTTGTCCTTTTGGGCCTAAGAGGGCCTTTTATCCATTTCCATCGTATATTTGGCCATGCCCACTATGGGAGACCCAAAAATAATTACTGCCGGTACGCATATATGCTGATTAAAAAAAGTTCTGTTTTCAGGAAAAAATGTAAATCAATAACTAAAAACACCGTGTTTAATTAATAATACTAATTATACCGGACGGAAATTGACACAACTCTTACTTTCGCGATTCTGAAATCCTATCTTTACCCTTCAGTAGCCGTGTGAGGAGTCACAGATCCGACGAGACTCGTAGATATTTTTATTCCATAAAATTATTGTAAAAATCTGAAAAAACATTAGTAGGCCTATTCCTAACTTTTCGAAATAGCTGGAGTCTTACAGACTACGGGACCCCTCGCTTATAAAAAAAAATGAGATTAAACGTGTGTTTGCTGAAGTCTGCTTAAATAATTTTTTACAGTTTATACAATGGTAAAGAGGAAACAGTATCTGAAGAACTGGGAAATAGTGACGGTAAAAGAGTTGTCAAGCGTAATAGTTGATCATGTAAACATAATTTGTCTACATGATCAAAAATATATACAGTAATGGAAGTAATATATGCACAACTGTAACTAGGTATTTAACAGATAAGCATGGTTTTGGACAAAATTCCGAAACAAAAATTTAGATATGTGATGTTTACAGGAAAAATGTGTACAACATTAAGTCAATGGTAGAGACCATAATTAACAAGTTTTTAGCTGAAGAAACAGACGTACAGTACTAAGTTTTAGAGGAAATTGAGATCCACAAAATAAATCGGACACGTTGTATACAATTCACTCACAGTATTCACTCGCTTTAGATGTGGTTTCACCATTTGCAAGAGCATCAAAATCGATGGGTAGTCAACCGTTAAAGAAACCGTTGACTACCTAGCTAGATAACTTGTCAACTTTTTATTCGGAAAGATGTACTGCTCTGTTTTTCCAGTACCGTGTACTGTTATTTGGTACTAGGTCAAATTTGTTTTTACAGATTATTTGAAATTACAATAAATACGCGTGCAAGACATTTTAGGTGATATTATAAAGTGACATATACTGTGTATTTATGTGATGGGGCTTTTTTAAAACTCTTTCCGCCCTGTGGGCACTGAAAGGCCTAGAATAGGGCGGCCAGGTTGTGAGGAATAGGAATTTCGATAGAGATGATCTTGCGGGAGTTCACTGATGGACCCACTCGTGCGTGATCCACTCTGGGTAAAAATCCTTGGTGACGATGAAGTACACCTTTTATACAGTACGCCAACGAATGTAATACCGAAAAATAGGACGAACGACGGATCTGGAAGCTATAAACAAGCGGGATAAACCTCAAAGATGTGTTAAAATTGAAAATTGAAAGCACAGTTTGTTGGAAAACGAGTCACCATTTATATTCACTTTAATTGTTTTGGAATACAATTTTTGACAATCTATCTTTTTTGACTACAATGGACTTTACACGATCCTTTCTGGGTGTAAACTTTATTCCTTGCTTATCGAAAATAATCCAACTCTGCCGTCAGTGTTGTTGCACACGCGAATGTCTGGATTTCTCGTTAATTAATTAAATCACCGAATTGTAATAAGCAAGCTGATTCAAATATGACAATTGGCTCGGATGTTTCTCGACTTTTTCTCCCATTTGGAAGAATTTATCACACCGAGTGACCAATCTAATGGATTTTATAAATTATTTATTCCTCTACTGTACACAATTTAAAGAATATTTAAAATGCGTGACTTTAGGCCCTTGTTTTAAATCCTTACGTAAGATAACATTCGTTATTATGTAAATCAAATACTATAATATAATATGAGTTAGAAGTACGAAAGAATCTAATAATCTTAATCTTTGTTGGTTTTATTTTTTGCCCGAGTAACGCTGGACTCATCTGTTAGTTATATATATATATATATAAATTACGATTTCAAAATTCTCTTAAATTTTAAAAGTTCCATATTACAACTCTATGCTGGGCTATTCGACAATTTATTTTTAATCTATATTCTATTTACGAATTCTAAATACAATAGCCAATATTGATACATTAATTTAATTATGTAATTATTAAAAGTAAATCGAAAAAATTTCTTATTAGAAATTTCTAAGCAAGATAAATGAATGTTAAGATTAAAAGAAAACATCATTATAATAATTTAACTACAAAAATTAGACATTCATAAGAGCAAAGAATTATATGCTATTAATACAAAGCAAAGAATTATAAAATCCATTAACGTATAGTTAAAAAATGTCAAAAAAATTTTTAATAGGTAATCAAAATCATGTAATGTTCAATAAGCATCTAATTCGGTACTCATTGATATTCATTACACATCACCAAAACGAATAACGAATATTGAGAATAGCCACCAGTGGCCAAGCTGTCTTCATACTCTGAACACTGGGCATTCGGTCGTGGGTTCACGCCTCGCTCGGGCTAGTTCGAGTTTTCCGGGTTTTCTCCACGTCTGTAACGCCCTAAGCCAGTTTCCCTTAAAAAGACTTCGAGGAAGGCATCCCCTAGGCAGATCGCCCAAGTGTTCCGTTGCCATAAATTAACAAACAATATTGAGTAACGAGTATCGAAGTTTAAACGAAGTAATAGTGTTGCGCATCACGTTTTGTTTAATGGAAACAGTCCATTTCCATTAAACTCTTTTTCAACTCTCCGTCTTATAAAACCTTTTTTTCAAGTCCATTTTGGATTCGGCCAACCCCGCAAGGGGCGGCCAGGTGGTGACGAACAGGATCCGACATATCCAGACTGACCACTCCTCGAAAAATTTCTGGCGTTTTGGACCCTTTGGCATTCGATTCCGGGTCCCCAGAGCTGAAGGCTGCCATCTTAACCTCTCGGCCATCCGGGCCTGCCTTTCAGCAGTAAGGACTCGGATTCGAATCCGGATTCGCTTAGACATTTTTATTAAGCTGTAAATAAAAATCCAAAAAAGTCAATTTCACAAAGTTAAAAGTATATTAAATTCTTATGATTTCCATATATGTAGGCTAATTTTTCAATTAATAAATATTTTTTGTATTTATTCTATAACAGTAAATAACTTATAATTGTTAACGTTGTAAATAAAAGTTACTTTACTATTGTCGACAAGTATTGTTTATTAATATTTCAGCGAGTTTTTCAAAAAGAATTCAGTAAAAAATGAACTCAGATTCGATAATTATAGATATTCCGGATGTTCCTCACCAAATAGTGTCCTTACCGGAATTGGATATGACAGAAAGAAAATTTTTTCAATTTGTCAAGAATGGAGACGTAAATGAATTAAGAACTTTCTTATCGGTAATAGTGCTTTGAATGAGAAGTCTTTTGCGTATCTTTTACAAATTTTATTTAAAACAGAATGAGATAAGATAGAACAACTAACTCATTAATTTATTCATATTTTAGAATAATGAACTCAATATAAATTGCGTTAATTATCAAGGTCTTTCTGCGCTTCATATCGCAGTCGAAAATGAAAACGTCGAAATGATTCAGTTCTTACTTACCATACCCGACATAGACATAAAGGATTGTGTTCTTCACGCCGTATGCACAGGAAATATAAAAATTATAGAGATGATATTGGATTCTCTTAAGTAAGTACAAAATGATTAATTAATGAGATGATTTTCAATTTCCTAAAGATTTACTAATTTCTTTCTTCAGAGAGAGAAATTTGGAATTTCAGAGTTGTTGTAAGAGCATAGAATTCGATTACGGCATGACACCTCTTATACTGGCTGCTCAAAGAGGTTCTATTGAAATAATTCGACTTCTGTTAAAAAGGAATCACCGTATACCCGAACCGCATTTGCCTACATGTAAATATTAATATATTTATTGAGCTGCAATTTAATAAACTGTAGTCCTATAAATTCCCACTGTCGTGCGATTGTCTGTTCGTCTGTCTTTCCTTATTCTCGAGAACGGAGTTAAATATAGACTTACACAATTCAATCTCTACTTACTCAAAGAAAAATTAATTGGCTAAATTTTTATATAAACGAGCTTAAAATTATTAGTGCACTTAAAACTAACAAATTTAAGAATTAGCTTATTTTTTAAACAGGCAAATGCAGAGAATGCAGAAGATTTCTCAAGCGTATGGGTGCAGATCCAACTTCACAAAGATTAAATATATACAGAGCTATATGCAACCCATATTTTATCTGTTTGACAGCAAGAGATCCTATACTGACAGCTTTTATTCTGGATAAACAATTAAGAGAATGCGCCAGACTAGAAAAGGAATTTAAGGTTTGTTTCCAGAATTCAAATTTTATCTTTGATTGAAAATTTAATTAACTAATTAACAATTTCAGATGGAATATAATGCCTTGTCGGAATGTGTTCGAAATTTTTCAGTCGATCTGTTATCGCAATGTCCAAACGCTAATGAAGTAGAACGGATTCTAAAAATTAAAAAAGGTTTCAGCGGTTTGAATGTAAAATATCCGAGATTACAAACTGCACTCGATTACTCCCAAGAAGAAGTAAGTCTTCTAGCAATTAAAATAAAATCTGTCCTATAAATTTAGATTTTATAAATTTTGAATTTCGTTTAGTTTGTGGCTCATCCACATATTCAAAAAATAGTAAGTGCGGAATGGAATGGTCCTTGCATAACTTGGGTGAAATATTCATTATTTCGAAAAGCAGTTCATATGCTGCTTAGAATATTGATTCTACCTATTGTTTGCATCGTCATTATGATTGCACCAAATACTTATTGGGGTAAACGATGGCACTGTCCCCTAAATAGATTTATGAATGAATTTGCAACGTATATAATATTCTTCGTTTTACTCTTTACCATGATCGGTATTGATACGAACACTTCTGAAAGAGGTCCTCCGAATACAGGTTATTTCCTATTTATTCCAAATTCTTTTTATTATGAATTTGAATTTTTAACAAAGGATTTAAACTTTTTTTTTATTACTGTATTTCAGGACTAGAGATTCCAATCGTACTTTGGGTTGCCGGATTCGTTTGGGCATCCATCAGGCGTCTCATGTTGCTTGGATTTAAACGATTCTTTCAGAATCCATGGAATTGGTATCACCTCCTTTATTCATTATAATTAATTTAAAATAATTACAGCTTAATTTCAATTTGACATAGGAGGATCGGAAAAAAATCCGGAAAATTAGGACGAATCAAATCAGTCAATTTACGTAAAATTTTA